TACTGGGGCTGAAAATATTGTTATTATTTCTAATTGACTCAAGGTAAGTCATTAGACTGTTTTTTCTCTCAAAGCACCACCCCTAAGTTCTAGATTAAGATCGATGACCCAATTAGTGGACTCACCGGTAGAGGAGGCAATGTCAGAGATAGAAGCTTTAGGGGCAGAATCAGTAGCAGCGACGCGCGGAAAGTTGTTGCTGAGGATGATCCCAGGAGCCTAGCAATCATACCAAAACGACGTATTGTGCCCACTTTCCGGCTCGATATAAGCCAGCTTCCAAAAGGAACTGTATCCCTTCAAAATTCCAACCCAGGGTGAGTGACCGTAGCCATTCTTGACAGTAGCTGTTGCCCAACTGGAATACTTGTGTTTATATTTTTCTCCGATGAGTGAATGCCACTAGTTGCTTGTTTCAGTAGTGAAGCGCCATAGCCATTTAGTGAGCAAAGCTTTATTGAAGAGCTGCATATCGAACAGCCCCAAGCCTCCATTATTGATAGAAGCTTGGCAGACCTCCCATCTTACGAGAGGTGTTTTATTAGTGTCCGTGGCACCACTCCACAAGAATTTTCTCGTTATTCTCTCCATGTTTGCAGTGACAGCACGTAGAGCCTTTAATAGTGAGAAATAATGGACTGGCAAGCTGCAAAAGACCGCTTTGCATAAAGTGAGTATGGCTCCGAAAGAAATATGTTTGGCTTTCCACCCCTCGAGCCGCTTCTTGTATCTGTCTATAACAAGATTCCAGAAAACCTTATTAGAACTATTCCTTCCAAGTGGATAACCCATATACAAAAGCGGTTCGTCGCTCCATTTGCAACCAAATAAATCAGCGAAATATCCAGGTTCAGCTACATCGCCCACTGTGATCATGATGGATTTGTCTAGATTGATCTTCAATCCAGTAACTGCTTGAAAACATATTAACGTGGCCAATAAACTGAGAACTTGACTGTCAGAGGCATCACAGAACAGTAATGTGTCATCCGCGAAGAGGAGATGTGTGACTTCGCCTCTCCTATCCTCTTCATTCATATAGAGTCCGTTGATCAAACCTGCCGACTTAAGCTTGGAGATCATGTGGGAGAGAACGTCCATGACGAGGGAGAAAAGTCCGGAGGAAAGTGGATATCCCTGGTAGGGGTGGCTATACGGTCCAGTCCGGTTAAATTGGCCCAAATTGATCCGGTCCAGTCCGGTTAAATTGGCCCAAATTGATCCGGTCCAGTCCGGTCTTTTTGAAAATATAAGGACCGAAGATTGGATTGGATACAGTCCGGTCTTGATCCGGTCCGGTCCCAATTCGGTCTTGATTTTACATTGAGATTGTGGGATTTGAGTGGCCTAAGGCCTTAAAGGGTGAGGAGTTGGTTAAGTTTTGTACCAAGTGCAAAGGTTTGTGACCGTTTATGCAAATTATACTTAAGTTTTGGGTGTTGAGCTCTCTTATCCGGTCTTTATCCGGTTTTTTACCTCAAATCTAAGCCCAAAGATTGGATTGGATTGTTTACTATCCGGTCCCGGTCCGGGTTATACGGTCCGGTTTCCGGTTTTTAATCCGGTCCCGGTCCAAATAGCCACCCCTACTCCCTGGCGTAGACCTTTTTCTGCTCGAAACAGCCCTTTGGGTTCGCCATTAACCATAATGGAAAAATAAGGTGAGCACATCGTACAATTTATCCAATTTGACCATTGAGGGGGAAAGCCTAGATTAGATAAGATCTTGAATAGAAAGCCCCAATTGACATTGTCGAACGCTTTCTCTATGTCGAGTAACGTTGCCCGACAGAGAGATCGGCTGGCGACGAATGCAAGAAGGAAAAGGAAGACTTGTGGAAGGAGAAAAAACAATGGAAAATAGCTGTTTCATATAATAATTTGATCTATTAATTAATTATTAATATATCCATGAATTTAAAGGAAAAGTCAAGCGGGGTGGTATATATGCAACTTGTACAAAATTGTATTAACGAAAAATGATGTATTTTACAGAAAAATGATGGTTTAAGAAAAAATACCAGTAATAGAAGAAGAAAGATAGAAAAGAGAGTGTAGAAACAAGCTCAAGACGGAATAAAAAACCAACCAGGATAAGATACGATGAGAAAGTCTGCATGAAGGCTAGGATTTGAGAGAAAAGAAAGAACTAGGATTCGTTTTGGTGTAATGTTGCACGCTGCCTTTCATTCCTTTCTGCTAAATATACATACAAAGCTTAAACTGAGTGTTGAAGTTCTACTGTGGTTAAATGACTAATTACAACTACCATTTAAAACATACAATGCCTATTAAGGCCAGGTTAGGAAAATTAAATAAATAAACATGATGGTCGACAAGTGTCTGCATCATCGCTTCAAAGGCTTGTCTTGCCACGATATGGGCAGTCCTATTATACCTACAGGAAGAGAAATGTAACTTTGCACGAAGGAATAAAGCCCGTAAAACCAGAATCTCTTGCAGGAGAGCTCCGCCCATCGCGTGCGACGAGTCCCTCACGTTGATCATTCGGACGATCACCTGCGCATCCCTACAAAACAAAATTAGTGAATGAGTGAGCAAGACACCAAAGTAAAGAGTCGTGAAGAGCAGGAGCTTTGTGAGCAAATATAATGGTGTTAGCCTCTGCAAACCCTACAAAACCAATGGCACATCCGACCGATGATTTTGTGGCACCATCAAAGTGAACCAGCACTGAACCGAAAGGTATGACTGGAGGGGAGTGATCACGTGGAAAAACCCCACCAGTAACAGGAGCACACCTAGGCAAAGATCTCTCCGGATGCGTCTTATCTAGCTCCCATTAAGCAAAATGAGAGTTATAATGTCAAGATAAGACATGAGGGAGGTACTAAATACCATCATATGTAGCCGAGCACTGGAATTCCAAATCTTCCAGTAAAGAAATACCAAACATGAAATCTCTACTTTGAAAGAACTAATTATTCTTACATGAAACTCCAACTAGATGAAACTAATTACAAGTCTAATTAATCCAACCAAATCATCTAACTAAATCTTCAAGTCCTCCTCGTCGTAAAAAATTATAGTACTGAAAATGAGTCCCTATGTTTCTAGGCACTAACGAATGACATGACCCGCCCTAGCTGTTTCAGGCAAAAACGGGAAAAAAGAGAACCCACAACCAGTACAAGAAACTAGCTAGAACCATTTTTACATGGAACAAAAAGAGATTGGGAAGTGGAATGGAACAAGTATCATTACGTCTTCTTAGACGATTCATTTTCATTAATCTTCCTGCCTTCTTCAACTGCTAATAACTTCTTTCCCCAGATTTTACATTTATAAGCAAACAAAGTAACTTGCAAACAGCAGGAGCATGATCAATAGCTCATCGTTCCTTCTGGATTCTGGCTCAGAAGCTAGTTATTACCAATTACAACATCAACAATTTAACAACGAAAATGGCTCTGTCAAGAATAATGGCAACCCATTCAATTACTACTCCTGGAAAGTTTACCTTATTCGGATTGCACCAGATTTTAACCCAATTAGTGATCACTAACATGACACTCATTATCATCTCATCGGAAGATCGATCCCATTCCTTCCTCGCAGCGCGAATTGATCGATGTCGTCCTTCCTCCCCGCAAATCTACAAACAATGAATGCCAAATTAAAACGAAACCTCTAGGATTCTCGCTGTAGCAAACAACAAGAAAATGAATGTCAAGAAATATCCACAACAACACAGAAGATTTAGACCAATTTCCACATTCATCTACACACATATTATATTCTGTATGCAAAATGAAAAAAAGGTGACAAGAAAACTGACCTTGTAGACCGAGGGGAATGACTAAATTAATGCTGCACCGCAAAGCTCATCAAATGTACTTTCTTAAAACGAAGTTATGTGTGTAGTTCCATGTGATTAATTCCATCCTCGTCCGACCAAGTCATTCATCAACTCTTGGAACTTGGTACGTTGTCGTCTTCCCTGCCAACATTAATTAGCATGCATGATGCCCACTCCTAAAACGAAACTCATCTTCTGTATGCATGCTGGATCTACGTACGTAAAAGAGTTAAAGCGACATACACAGATGAACCTCAAGTTGTTCAAATGATCATAGTTCTCCTATATAAAGCTACGCAACCTCTATGAACAATCAGATTGCCATGATTAGAGTCCATTGCAAGGAAAGCTTTACCTCTATGAACAATCATGAATTGGTAAATGTAATAAGACCCAGCCATCTCTTCGATCAAGCTTAATTCATTCCAGCTGCATGGCTAACTTGTAACATAACGTTAAAGTCTAAAGGTACAAGTTTAGTTTATATCATAAAGGATTTCGTATGTTTATGTTATGATATAAGTCGTAGTTTGTCCTGTAACATAGCAATACAAATTCTCATATCCCACCATATGTCGTGAGGGAAGTATAACGTAGCAATACAAATTCATTTTTACTATAAGAGAATTTGGGTTAATACCACATTTGGTCACTGTGATTACTAAATTGTGTCATGTTTAGTCACTAGAAAAAATTAATATCAAATTTGATCACTCTAATTACTGAAACATGTCACATTTAGGTCGCCCTCTGTTAGTCTCCGTCCAACTCCGTTAATCGAGTCTGTTTTGTGCTGACATGGCCAAGGGGAGCGCATAGTCAGCACCGTTTTGGGCCGGAAATGGTCAAACCCGACCCGCCACTTGACTAAATACACCTTATCATAGCACCGTTTTCTAATGACTCAACTAAATTTGTACTTTGACGTTAAAGACATTAGTTTAATTTGTACCGTAACACACCGTAATGGTGTTTTTGCCTACAAAAATTGAAGTGTGAAAAACAGCCAGCATCTGGCTATATGTACCTGGGCGAGGAAATTAAACAAGTCCAAGGATTAAAATTGACATTTTAAGGGGATAAATTATTAAAAAAAATAGCGCGTATAATACAGGGTGCGATAAACGTCGCCGTTTAAATACGCTAACCTATATATACTATTTTATGCCACGAAAGCTGGGTCGGCTAGGGCAGTCACGTCCCTTTACGATTTAAAGAGGGAGACTGCGTGGAAACACAGTCCCGTGGCGTCAATTCTCTTTCTCTTTCCCTAATTGCGATTTGCCAACACTCTAAGAAATGGCAGCCGGCGGCGGCGTGTTCATTTGCTGTTGCAGGGAGCTGAGGAGCGGGTTCCCGGATCACCTGTGCGCGGGACTACGGGAAGCCGGACTGACGGCGGTGATGGGAGGCGGAGATCTGCCCAAAGGTGTGAACCTGAGGGACGCGATCCGGTGCGCGATCGAGGATTCAACTTTCTCCGTCGTGATTCTCAGCCCCGAATTCGCTTCCTCGCAGTTCCGCCTCGACGAGCTCGTCCAGATCAAGGAGCAGCACGCCGCCGGTACCCACGCCTGCTTGCCGGTCTTCTTCCATATCTCCCCCGACGACGACTGCGCCACTCTCGTCGTCGACTCCGGCTCCGGCGGCTGCTTCCACGACTGCTTTAACCGATACAAAACCCAGTTCACTTACCGAAGGGTTCACGCCTGGATCCAAGCAATTGCTTGGCTTGCCGGCATCTCCGGCTGGGTCCTCGCCGCCGGCCGGTCCGTATCTATCTATCTAACTATCCATACTTGGCTTCGTTTTTATTTGTTTCAAACAATATAATCGGGTATTAGTTTTGCCTAGGCATCTAATTTACTAGTATGGGCACCAAAACCCGAGGGAGGCCCTAACTAATAATTGTTAGGAATGATGAAAATTAGGGTTATCGATCTAGTCGCTCGCAAATTCAGTCGCTTTCTTTTAAAACGTTCTCAACACTATCTCGTATTATCCATAATATGCTATCAATCGATTTCTTATAAGATATAACAACCACTTTCACATTCTCTCGTAGTGCAAAATCTCTAGATTTATTAGTACTCTCTTGCTATTTGAGCTCACAATTCGTGTGTCACATTCTCTTGTAGTGCAAAATCTCTAGATTTATTAGTACTCTCTTTCTATTTGAGCTCACAATTCGTGTGTTTAGAGGGTTTAGGAGGTCTAGTTTTTATAGAAGGAAAAACCTCGTTATTCTCTCTTTTGTGAGGGAGTAAGTCACACGTTTTAAGAGGATAATTGCTTCCCTTAATTAAAATGCACTCTCATAAGATAATAATTTTGAATTAAATATTCTTCCTTATTTTCGTTATTGTTCATTTAATATCTCCTAAAAGGAGTATACTCAAGTCGATTGAACCAACGCACTCATTGTTCGCTCTCCCGTCCAGACAAACATTATGCGCACATGTGTGGTTTGGAGCTCACTTAGGTCCTCCATCTTACACAAATGGGTAAGCATTACAACTTTGGTGAAAGAAATCTATCTATATACACATTTTACAAGGCTTCACTCACCAATGTGGTATTTCAAACTTCATTAGCTTCCAAATGCTATTCAATCCCAATAATCAATCATCCACTCTAATACTTTTAAAACTTTTCATTGAGAATTAGCTGACAATATAAGATCAAGTATAAACTAAGCTATCTTTTGATTTGTACCTTACCGTAGTGGTAACAATTCAGATTCACTAAGAGTGGCTCGTATACTTGAACTATATCTCTGATAGTGTAGCACGTCTGATCTATTCAGTGTGTTATTCTCTAAAAGCATGTGTTATGACTCTTCACATCTACCCGGTTTAGTGAATCTCTAGAAAATTTTCCCATTAAAAAATTTCGTAGGAAGCGAGCCGAATTCCACATTCAACATAGTTGAGTCTATTAGAAGTACTCCCGAAGCTATGCAATTAACTTCACATCGAGTATAGATATCATTAAGAGTTATTATTATCTCAACCTCTTTTTGTTTCAAGAACCCATGCTTTAATATGCATGATTTATCTCATATTACATACAACTTGTTATTGAGCACTTCTACTATACTATAAAGCATTGGTGCTTTAATATACAACTTAAAGTTGTACCATAACGTTAAATGTATAAGTTCAGGTTGTACCATAAAAGAATTTGTACCCTTATGTTATAGTACAACTTTAAGTTGTACCATCGCATAAATGTATAAGTTCAAGTTGTACCATAAAAGAATTTTTAAAAAAAAGTTAGGTACAATCTGAAGTTATACCATAACGTTAAATGTACAACTTCAAATTGTACCATAAAGGGAAAAACCTATAGCACCAATACTCTATAGCATTGTAATATTCCTCCTTGTTATTATCCATTGGACCCATTTATTGAGGTTTCCGGTCCATGGGTAGGTTACCGTAGGTTACCATCATGTGTAATTCAACGTTTTATGACCATAAGTCTCATACTCTTAGCGGTATTCTTGACTTTCTCTTTAGCTAATCATTTTCTTAAAGGATCAGCAAGATTCTATTTAAATCTTACATGATCCACCCTCATTGCTCATATATTTAGAGACTCTCTGACATTACTCTACTTATGACGAATATATCACCAGAATAAAATATGGTGACTAGGGGACCTTAGTTATGTCACTAAGCCAATCTCAGCTATGTGATAATTTTAATATGATGGTGGAAACCTAACGATGTTCGTCCCGTTCAATGATTTTGTCAGGAGTTCCTAGGATGATTAAAGAAATTATAAACGAGTTGGTTAAGATGATTTGTCACAACTGTTTCTCTGCGGATCGGGAAATAGGATGAATGACAAAGCAAGAAAAATGAAAGTAAGAATGAACATGACACTCGTATTAACGTTGTTGACTAATACTATGTGTGTTAGCAAGTCCACGTGCTGTAGAGAGCCAGTTTCACTATACTTCAAGGAGATACAAATTACAGAATAGTATGACAAGTGTTTATATTATTTCTCCATGTGTTCTAACCCTAATTCAATATGATAAAAGAATAAGGTTATAAACCAGATCCATAACAGAAAACCTAACAAGTAATCCTTCTCCAAATTTGGAGAAGTGCTACAGACATGGAGTATATATAGAATGTTAATGAAGTGTTATGGACATAAGCCGAGTTAGTTATTCTTTTATGGTATCTCATGATACTTTCGATAACATTTTATACTCCATACCATGGCAATTGGTAACTTGTCAAGTAATACGACCTATGCATTGTCGAGCCTGCTGTTGTGTCTCACAAAGTACCAATTATTGCTAGCATATTCAGATATTTGAAGTGCTCTTGAAAATTTTTGCACTAGCATCATAGGATGAACACGCATGTTTATAGTCAAAGCAAATTGTATTTCTTCAAAGTCTTTTCTGTGTAACTAGATTGATTCAAAGAAAATCTCTTTTCTGTACTAGTTATCTGGATTACAAGGATAAAACTATCTTCTCCTAAATCTTTCACATCAAAGTTATCACAAAACATTAGCTTCAAAACATTGAAAACAAGAATATTTGAACCCAAGATTAACATATCATTCACATACAAACATATGATAGTGTACCTGTCAATTTCATATTCAAGTTAAAATCATGAGAGAGAACCCCTAATATCAAATTAGGGTTCGGCGTACCGTACAATTCACCAGGATTGTTTGATTAAAAGAAATATACGAAGGTAAAATTGACATACTCTTTGTTAGAGAGTGGTATAAGATCCAACAGAACCTTCTCCCAACAACTCGAGTTATTGGGATCAACTGGTTCATGATATGCTATCAGAGCTGGTTTGGCCAAATGGTCGTGTGTTCGAATCTCCACGACCCCCAATATTAATAGTTGATTAAAGCACAAGGTAAGGTGGGCCTGTGCAAACTTCAAGCCCATGGGTTGGCTTTAGTTTGAAGGGGCGTGTTAGAGAGTGGTATAAGATCCAGCAGAACCTTCTCCCAACAACTCGAGTTATTGGGATCAACTGGTTCATTTTAAACATCGTAAAAACAAACATTCTTGATTACCTTTCGTTTATACACATATTTATATGAATATATGATCTGTTAAAACTTACCTGCTCTGTGATTCTTCTTTTATGATTTTTCTTGCGTACAGAAACCCTAAATATATGTATTAATGCAGGTCTGAAGCTGCCCTTGTGAAGGAAATTGTTACAACAATCCAAGAAATGATCCGTAAAAGCGATCTGCCATGCTTCCCTGGCCATTGTCGTTACTTCCCTAAGCCCTGGGAGGAGCACAAGCACAAGCACAAGCCCTCCGCCGCATCCACAACAACAACAACCTTAATCTCAACCACGAGAAGGTCCGCGGCCGCCACCTTGTCCTTCCGTATAGTGGTTGTGGTTGCAGCTGCATCTGCCTTTGGCGGCGCCGCCGTCATTGCCATATATGTTTTTGTAACAAAACCCCACAGCTTTTTCTGACAAGCGGCTCCAAGTTACAGCCAAATGAGACGAGGCATACTTGAACTGTCGTAATTGATGGAGGGGACTAAACTCTTACGTACCGAAGGATAATTAAGAGCTTCTCTTTTCAATTTTCATGACCTAAACTTCTATTTGCAAAGAGATCGAGGTTCTTTCATTGCCTACAGTACTGATTTTTCTGTAAGCGTAATTCAGAAAATAAAAAATATAGAACTACTATATATATATATATATATATATATATATATATATCCCTACATACTCATAAAGTGATCGATATATGTATATGTGCACCTGTAGATCGAAAACCAGCTTGCTGCTGGTTTTCTTTGTTTGCTGCTGCTGATGATGAGCCTGGCTGCATGCTCCCGTCCGGCCGACTGATCACCGGCCACAATAGCTAAATGGTTCTGCTGATCGATCGAAGTGGATCTGTCTCTTCATCATCATAATTTTCATCAAAACTGCCCGCAAGCATCGAAACGCTCAACTGACTGCAATTTGGAACAGAAAAGGGAGAAGAAGGAGGATGTATGCATCGGTTTGCCTGCGTAGACTTTTTTTTTCGTGAGGTGTCGTGCGCCACAGTTATACTGTCTGCATCATCAGCTGCTTTTATGGAGCCAAGAAGCTTTGACATTGTCCCCTCATGAGGCAAGCCTATAGTTCCATCTAATTAATAAACCCCGTTTTATGAATCATCTGTAATTAATTAATGCTGCAAGAGGGTCGTGATTCGAAGTGCCCGATTTTGTTTTCCAGATTCATAAATATACGATCAAGAAATTACATTAATGTGAAGAAAACAGATCTCAAGCTTATATCTTGATGTACCGGAAGAAAATACTGAATTTGTTTTTAAAAAATAGGTACCCATGTGCTTAGAAAGTTAATGGTCAGTAACATAACCCACCAACATGTTACTCAAGTTGATGATCGGATCAGGAATTATCCACACCAGAGAGGGACGGAATGGGTTAGTCTGTCCACAGGCCCGGCTCTGACGTCGATATTGCAAGCTCCGGCCCATCTGGATCCTGTTAAGATAACATGGTAGTTTGTACGTGGGATGGGGCCACGAGAAGTGAGTCTCACTCGGCCGGTGGGATGATTCTTATGAACCCAATTAGGGTGATCCTATTGGCGAAGGGAGTTCAGTTCTAGTTGATTGATGACCCCATGATTGTGGAACTGCTAGTGCTAAGGGAGGCTATCGTGTGGTGTCTTGAGCTCGGCTTTTCGGACGTCATTTTTGAGGGAGATGCTAAGGTGCTCATTGATAAAGTCAATCAGGCAGAAACTAGAGATAACCGGATGGGGGCCGTCCTTGAGGAGATAGTGTATTATTTTCAGGCCCAATCTGGTTTACTATTCGATTTGTAGGTCGGTGTAACAATAGGGTAGTCCATGTGGCGGCTAGAAAGGCCCTTTCTTTGTACCCAGCTATGAGTCGGCGCTTTGATTTTCGGACCTGGCTTAATTTCAGGGTGTAACTATCAATTTTTTCTATCAATAAATGATTTTTCTTTTGTCAAAAACAAAAAAAGAGGGACAGAATGAATTTGTGGGCGTAAGGAGAATTATAATTCATTTATGAAATATAGTTTCATCGGTGAGGTCAAGGGTTCAATTCTTTTAGACTCACAATATTAATGATTGTGTTAAAGTAAATGGCATGGTGAATTTGGGAAAACTTCAATTTCATAAGTTGATTTTCACTTGAGTTAGCATGTAAGGGAGAGACGAGAAAAAAGGTTGATCATAATAGCGTTGACTTTCACTAAGTAGTAGCCTTTCGAAAGCGCTATTATGTATGCATCAGCGAGCAATTTTACAATGCTATATAGTATTGGTGCTATAGGTTTTTGTCTTTATGGTACAACTTGAAATTGTACCTTTAACGTTATGATACAACATCAAATTGTACCTATACTTTTTGTGCAAATTCTTTTATGGCACAACTTGAACTTGTGCCTTAATGTGATGGTACAAATTCCTTTATGGTACAACTTAAACTTATACATTTATTGTTATGGTACAACATAAAGTTGTACATTAAAGTACCAATACTATATAGCATAGTAGAAGTGCTCATGCATCAGCTCCTTATGGGTAGAAGTTTTAATTTCACATTGTCACCCATATGATATGTTAACATTTCAAAGCATCGATAAAACAATATTATGTTTTCCTACTACTCAAATAAAAACACACAAAAAAACATATCAAATAGTTCCTGGGCGTGGCAAATGACACTTAAGCTATAAGAGAGACTATAGTGGGTTAGATTGAGAAAACGAGCCGAGGAGGTATTTTGGGACATGAAACCAATGCCCAAGTACTCTATAAGTTTGGTCTGGAGCTCGATAAGAGTTCATGAGAATTTGGTTCTACGGTGCCAGGTGGTTTGGTAAAGAAAGTACAAGTAAAACTATCTGGGTGTCCTTTGCCTTATCTTCCCGCTTAGCCTCCAAGTAAAACGTTTTCATGAGTTTCTGGAATCTGGGACTCACTGATAATGGAGCTAGACAGTCATTTTGGGCTTAGGTCAACTAAGTTTCATGCCATTTTTGGGATTTGCTCCAATCATCCTTTTTTATTTTCAAGAAGTGGGTTTTGATGTCTTATTCTCATACAATGTGGTCCACTATGATACTTTGGCCTGAAAAGACAAGAAACACTACAAAAAAATGCTTTAAAATATTGAAAGTGATCCTAGATAGGAGTTACTACACACCGCTTAGATCATTTATCAACCATATCCAAGTTAATATGGCAAAAAATATATGAAACTGTTGTAAAACATACCACTAAATATGGGTCGAAATAGTATAATTTTGATAGCAACTCGTAGCTCACGAGTTAGGAGGTTCTTTGTTAGGCGCAGATCGGCCGTATTAGGGTTGTTTGTGGGTGATTGATTGTCTTTCATTATCATAACGAGTGCTTAAATAGTGACTTACAATCCGAACGTAAACAGGAAAACCAAAGAACCTACTAACTACGAAAGGTAACGTGGATTGGGCTTAATGGCCCGTCTCGATACCCTTGGTTGCATGGGCTGCATGCCCACGTGCACCGAGTTGCTTCCATTAGTCCCCATCGAAAGATCGACCTTGCGCTCAAGGTCAAAGCTAGGAAAGCGCTCCAACAGCTTTGTCTTCAACAACAAAACATGGAAAACGGGATGCAGCCCAACGCCCACCCGCAAACCAAGACGATAAGCAACAGCGCCCACGCTTGCAGCCACCTGGTAAGGCCCAAAATAGCGGGCTGCTAACTTCTGCGAGGCACGACGAAATAAGGAATGCTTACGGTAGGGCTGGAGTCGAAGAAGTACCCAGTCATTAACGGCATACTCCACCGCGCGGCGTTGCTTATCCGCCAAATGCTTGTTATACTCATTAGCCATCGCTAGGGTGGTCTTAAGTTGCTGTAGAACCATGTCGCGCTCATCCAAAGCTGATCAATAGCCCCGACCCCACTGCTGCCACTCGCATATGGAATTATACTCTACGGATCACGGCAGTACAAGACCTTAAAGGGGGTCATCCCGATCGACTTGTGATATGACGTATTATACCAGAGTTCAGCCCATGGCAAGAATATGCCCCAACGACGCGGCTTGGAATGAACGAAATAGTGGAGTACTGCTCCACACAACGGTTGATCATTTGACAATCAGATTGAGGATGATAGGCAGATCTCATATTAATGCGAGTACTTGTCCTGGAAAAGAATTCCTTCCAAAATTTGCTCACCAAAATGGTGTCCCGATCACAGACTATGGATGCTGGTATGCCATAATGGTGCGCCACCCCGTTAATGAATTCTTCCACCACAATACGAGCCGAATAGGGTGACTAAGGGTCATGAAATGGGCGTACTTCGTCAACCTGTCCACTACCACAAATAATACGGACTGCCCTCCTGAAAGCGATAGGATGGCCCTGCTGAGATAACACTGCGCCCACCCCCTTGCCCGATGCGTCGGCCTCAATTACGAAGGGAAGTTTAAAATTTGGCATGGCTAAAGTCGGGGTGGAAACGAGGGCGGCTTCCTTAAGGGCCGAGAAAGCCTGATCCGCCGCGGGGGCCATTTGAAACTGCCTTTTTCGTAAAAGATCGGTGAGTGGCCTCGTTATCTCCCTGTAGCTCTTAATGAACTTACGATAATAGCCTGTCAAGCCTAGGAACCCTCGAAACGCAGTTACGGTCTTCAGCACTGGCCACTCGGTCATTGCCTGAACTTTCTTAGGATTGACGCGTACCCCTTTATCGGAGATTAGATGTCCCAAATATTCGAGTTCTTGCAACCCGAACGCACATTTCGAGAACTTGACATAATAATGTTGCTGCTGTAGGATCTATAGAGTCGCCATGACATGCTCCAGATGCTCATCCCATGTCCTGCTATAGATCATAATGTCGTCAAAGAAAACCAACACATATTTGCGCAAAACTGGCCGAAAAAAATCATTCATTGCGGCTTGGAACATGGAGGGCGAATTGCAAAGTCCAAAGGGCATCACCAGGTATTCATAGTGCCCATTGTGTGTTCTGAAAGCTGTTTTATGCACATCCGCTTCGTCCATTTGAATTTGGTGGTACCTCGCGAGCAAATCCAATCTGGTGAAGTATTTTGCCCCATGCAACTCATCGAGCATATCATCTACTATTGGTATCGGATAACAATCTTGTATGGTGGCCGAGTTTAATACCCGGTAGTCAGTACAAAACCTCCTTGTGTCGTCCTTTTTTTTACGAGTAAAACTGGGGACGAAAAAGGGCAAGAGCTCGGCCGAATAAGTCATGCCGCCAGCATCTCCTGCACTTGCTTCTTGATTTCAGCCTTATGTTGATGCGCGTACCGGTACGGCCGTACATTCATGGAAGCAGCTCCTTCTTTCAATGGAATGCGATGATCAACCTCTCGTTTGGACGGCAATTCGCTGGGAGTATCAAATATCGAGCCATACTCGGCGACCAGCTCGCGCATGCCCGGGGTTAACGGAAATAATTCGTTGGCCTGGAGAGGGAAGAGTAGTACCCAGGCCATCCCTTCTTCAGTGTGAATTTCATTAAACAAGACTTGCTTGAGGCCCGCTGCGATGCCTTGGAGGCAATAATCCTTGTCTCGCCATTTAAATTTCATGCACAAGGTCTTCCAGTCACAAGTTACGGGTCCCAATTCCTCTAACCACTGAACCCCCAAAACCATATCCAATCCGCGAATCGGTAGGATGAACAGTGATATCGTTATCGTCCAACCTTGCATGTGGAGGGTGACATTGTCGCACTTATTGCGACAGATCAAGGGTACGCCGTTGGCCACCTTCACGACAAACGGCGCGATCGGCTCGACTTGCATCCGCATCTCTTCGGCTTTCTTCTCCGTCACAAAATTGTGAGTCGAGCCACTGTCGACCAAAACAATTGCGTCTACTCCTACGACGTAAGCCTGAAATCATAGGGTTTTCGGCCCGAAGAGCCCAGTCGCAGCGGCTAAAGATATCTCGGCCAAGTTGGATGCCTCACGTTCGTTGGCGTCGATGGTGGCGGCGTCGGCGTCGCTCCGCGGCACACCGTCTTCGGCGTCGCTCCGCGGCACACCGTCTTCGGCGTCGCGTCCGTTCAGGGGGATAAACCCCGCCAGCAGTTGCTCCAAAGCACCCATTCGTTCTCCCATATTGGAACATGCCATGGTGGTTCGTTTCGCCGCCGCACAACACTCGGTGAGATCGAAAGACATGTTCTGATACCAATTGATAGCAACTCGTAGCTCACGAGTTAGGAGGTTCCTATGCTAGGCGCAGATCGGCCGTATTAGGGTTGTTTGTGGGTAATTGATTTCCTTTCATTATCATAACGAGTGTTTAAATAGTTTTTGATAATGTAACGAGTGTTTAAATAGTGACTTACAATCCGAACGTAAACAGGAAAACCAAAGAACCTACTAACTACGAAAGGTAACATGGATTGGACTTAATGGCCCGTCTCGATACCCTTGGTTGCATGGGCTGCATGCCCACGTCCTCCGAGTTGCTACCAAATTTATATGTCATCAAATAACATCATGCTTGAACTTTGATCATCACCAAGCAAATCATACTCACAATCTTACATCTCACCATACCACTAAGACATCAAATAGGGGTCTACATAGTATAATTTAAATGGTTACCTGTTGTTGGGTCACAACATCTCCATCCTTTATGCTAGTTTTCATATTCAAATTAAAAAATGAACTGAGCATCCTTTTTGCCGAACTTAATTTGAAGATGATATGATATTATGTAGGCAAAATACACTTTCATATCCATAACTATTCGCGTTGTGAAAAATATAGCCACTTTTTTAAAAATACACTCGTATAGCCATTCCGTCCAAAACTTTAACGACAATATCTTAAATGCTGACTGTACTAACGTTTTCTGGTGATGTGGCGATTTTTTTTTTAAACCAATCCTAGGTGAAAAGTTTCCTTTCTTATTTTATTATAATTACACTAAAAAGTAAAAATAAATAAAAATGGAAAACCGAACTTCATCATCTTCTTTTCCCCTTCTTTCCATCTACCCAACCCAGGAGACCCATCCCGATTCTCTTCCCCGTCGGCTATCGTCGATTGAGTTTTACCCAGAGTATTATGTCTCACTTCTCACTAAAACCCCTCCACCATCACTCAAATCGAAGGCGGCACCCACAAGCTCATTCCCCTTAGCGTAGCGAACAAGAACATGAAGAAGGTCGAGACCGTCGGCCAGGCGATCGACGACATCGGTGCCACCGTGTGGAAATCCATGGCCCAGATCATCTCCCACGGTAGAGATCTCTAAAATGCTTTTTCCCCTGATTATGATTCTGATTCCTCCAATAACGGCGGCGGGGAGCGGGGCGCGTCTTTGTCGTTGAAACCCTACAGTAGGTACGATGCGCAATTGCTTGCTATGCAGAGCAAATTGAATACCTACGAGATTGCGGAGCTCCGTTGTGGAGGAGAAAAGGGACGAGATTGAGAACTGTTGACTAAGAATGAAGAGCAGTGGCGTTGGTGGTCCGGAGCAGAAGAAGGTCGTCGATCCGTGGACGTCGACCATCCAGATCTCGCCGTCGGGGAAGTTTTCCTTGGAGCTAGGGAGGAGACCACAGAGTCACAAGTAGTCGAGGAGTCAAGGTCGCCAACTCCAACCATCTCCTCCGACGCCGCCACTGTCGCAAAGCTCCGTGATTTATCCAGTCCCTTCCAACTTCTCAACTGGATCGATTTATCCCGTAGCGAAAGTCGAAGTGGACAACTTCTGCGAGAATTACAAAGCGGCGACGGTGGCCAATAGGGGACTGACGGTCGTTCCTCCTCTTCTCTCCTCGTCTTGCTCGATCTGGCCTCACCTTTCCTCTCACATCTTGTTGGCGAAAATCCTAGATTGAGAAATTAAAGAAGTCTAATCTCCATTGAAATTACCTTGAAAAATTCCAGATCCATAAACTGAATAACCCTAATCGTGGCCGCCACCGCCACCATTTTCACCATCGAATCCTCATTGAAAAATCTTTTATTTTGGTTTTTTAGTAAAATTAATGATTTTTTGTTAAAATTACTTTTATTATGACGTGGCATAAAGACGTCCAGTTGGTGACGACGTATCGTTCAGTTGGCATCCGCCTCAGAGACACGTAGAGGTTATTGACGGTGTTAGTGACGATCCTAAAATTGTCAAGCAAGTATAAAAATGGCTATATTTGTGTATTTTTAAAAAAGTGGTTATATTTGTCACAACACGAATAATTATGGATATGAAAGTGTATTTTGCATATTATGTATCATATACAATTATACATCCAAATGCTCAAAACCGGTTGACAGCGAGTTTCAACTTCCAAAATTTTTCATAGGGTGACACAAAACCCAAATTCCTTACAAGTTGCATATATACATACCACCCCGCTTGACTTTTCCTTTAAATTCATGGATACACTAATTGATTAATAGTTTAAATTATTAAATGAACCAACTCTCTGCCATTGTTTTTTCTCCTTCCACAGGTCATCATTTTCCTTCTTGCATTCGTCGCCGGCCGATCTCTCTGCCGGCCAACGTTCCGATGGATAGTTCTGGCAATGTTCTCCAGCAACGCCGCTTCCGACCTGCGTTTGGGAAAAGTGAAATTGTTACATTTCAGACAATGCCCCTAATAATTGGTGTTAAGAAGACTTGGTTTGCATGAATTTGTTCCTCAAGGTAATCCATATCATCAATACCAACAAAGAAAATGCATAAATCGTTTGAAAAGACACGATTTACTAATATTTTAAGCGTTCTAACTTCTAAGACTTTTTAGGTATACCCCATAATAAACTCATATAATGGCAATAGTATGAGCAGTGGCGGACCCAGAAATTTTCCATAGGGGTGTCCTCTTATAAAAATAATTAATAAAAATAAAATCATAAATATGAAAAATACCTTACTTGTACAGGTTAAAAAAGTCCATGATGTGTTTTCATATTCGAAAATAATTATAGAACACACTTGGTGTTTATAGTGTTAAAAAAAATTCTCTATATACCCTACTAGACAATCATTCAGGAACTTATCGCATATTCGATTTGTAAACTTGTTCTTGATGTAACCCAAAACTGAAAGACTCTTCAACACTTGCCGTACAATCATAAAATCAATACAAATTAAGGGTAGATTGAAATTAGTTTAGATTGAAATAATTAGAGATAGGGAATGACTTTTTACTATTACACATTGTTCAAAATCGAACAACAAATGAGTTGTAGCTCAACAAAAATTAAGTTTATTAATAATAATAGTGTTCTAGATTTGAATTACCCAACCTACCATTTATATTTTTATACACAAATGACAGTAGGATAATCAATTTTCAAATTTCAGGGGTGTCCCTCACTATCAATTATATATTTTTTTTTTGTCTATACGTAAATTACCATCGGGGGTTGGATAATCATTTTCCCGAAATTTAGGGGTGTCCGGGGACACCCCTAAAACCCCCTGGGTCCGCCCCTGTGTATGAGTAACTATTGAGTCAAATGCATGTAATTATGATTTATTGTATTAGTCAAATATTTAAAAATAAATTCTAAAATTATAGGGTTATAGGTATAATATTCCCTTCTACTATGACGTTTTATCAAACATGCCCTTCTACTATTTTTTACATTAAACATGCCCCTGTAATTTGGAAAAACTATCAAACATGCCCTTGAGTTAAATTTTCCATTGAAAAAATCGTCAATTATGGTTCAACCGAGATTTAGACGACCTGACATTAATAAATGGGAGGGGAAATTTCAGTTTTGACCCTTGCTTTATTTTTCTAGGTCTCATCAAAGTGAAATTATTAGAATTATTTGGCTATACAAAAGAAAAAGAAACTCTAAAGTGAAATTATTAGAGATATTTTAGATATTTGGGTCGCCCGAACCAAAGTTCGGTCTTGGTTAACGATTTTTGGATGGAAATGTTTTAACAAAAGGGCATGTTTGATAAGTTTTCCAAATTACAGGGCATATTTAATGTAAAAAATAGTTGAAGGACATGTTTGATAAAACGTCATAGTAGAAGGGCATATTATACCTATAACCCAAAATTATATGATGCAGACTGCAGAGCCTAATTTTTGGTGGTGTACATGCAAGTTACTGTTGCCTAAAATAAATATTAATATATATATATATATAAAGCAAAATGCAAGTTACTGTTGCCTAAAAACTTGCATGTTGCTCCTATTTATTTTTTGAACACACCATTTGAGACATACTTTTTTTAACTTGACCTAAGTGTGGCTATTTCTATTGTATTTTTGTGCAATCGTCTTTTTTTCCCAATAAAATTATTTTTGGAACCGTTATTGCATATTTTTTCTAAGTGCTTAGCAATTAGAAGATGTAGATTACTCCACCTATATAGTCACTTTCTTTGCACATCTTTCGATCCTTATTACATATGTTTTCGTGGTGTATTTTCCAATTTGAGGATGATGATTGAACAATACCATTATTTTCGTGGTGACATTATCTTCGACATTTAAAAGTCGCATTATCTAGAAAACATGGTTTGCTTGCCAAAAAGTCTCATTGTAAGTCCCAGCCTTCTATTGCATATATTTTCTTTCATTACTCCACAATTGTAAATGGCGATGATCTTGACATGTTTTTGGGGTTTCTTAACATTGTTCTATTTAATATTCACAGTGGATCCTGAACTTAAACTATTTATCTTCACAATAGACAAAATAAGTCTTCTCCCCATTACTTCCTACTCTTCCATGAAAAACCATGCCTAGGCTGTTTACATGCATTCTCCCCACGCACTTCTCGAATTGAAAACGACAATAGATCTCAACTCAAAGAAATGGTTTATGTGTACTCGCATTGCTCGCTCATCTCAGTTTTTCTTTAGCAAAAAATGTTTTCAACGCACTTCGTCTACTTTTTCAAAAGAACTTCTCTACTTAAGAACTATGATGGATCTCGACAGAAGAATGTTTATTTTCGCAGTGTCGTTGCACAGTCTTCATCATTGGGATACCTTCCTCCTTTCGAAGAAAATGTCTATTTATATGTATTTGCTAACATGCTACTCAATCCGTGAACAACTATGAATCCTAATATAAATGCTAAATGCGTCATTTTCCCTATTTTATGTGGTTTGATCTACTATTTATTTTTCAACCGATAAATTCATCAATAACATATAATCTAAAACTTTGACACAACAAATTAATAAACGGCCCTTTAATCATTGATATAAAAGTCTTTCACGGTGATCGCGGCTTGACGCGATATTCACTTTCTAGTATATGTTGAATCAAGAGTAATCATTGTTTTGGTGCACTAATTTTTGGTTTTTTTATAGAAATCTGCGCTATGCTTTATTAAGAGTGTGAAGCCATTACAGAATCCAGCTCCAGCTGGTCAAGCAAACACATAGGAGGTCGATCAAACCAGACTTCGACCTCGTTCCATCTCGTCTCCACGTGTGCCATAATATGAGCCGCTGCATGCGTTGTTCGATAGACATGCTTGTATTCCCCATCTCCCAGCTCCTCAAGGAGCATTTTAATATTTTTGCAGATCAATCCTAGCTCTGTATGGTTTTGATCGGCTCTTCCAATGCAAGACAACACTTCCGCACTGTCCATCTCAAGAGTAGGTACTCCAAGCTGGTGTTGACGAACTAATTGTAACCCAAGCTCGGCTGCCAAAGCTTCTCCCAGTTCTGTATTTTGTTCACCCCTACTTCTCTTTGCTGCCGCCATCAAAAATTTACCATTTGCATCTCTCACTACCACCCCCTAAGCCGCTGCCATTAGCACACAAGCCCGCGTCAGTATTGAGCTTCACTTTTCCAGGAGTCGGTCTCGTCCAGTGGCGTCCATTATCGCATTGCTGCCCAGGATTGAAGACACTCTGTTGTTGTCTGTATTCATCAAGCAGTGCAACAACTCTTGGCACCACATCTTCAATTCCTCTGCGAGCTTGTCCCCATTAAAACACTGGGTATTCCTCTCCTTCCACAACATCCACATCAAAATGCTCCAGTGTTCGAATTCTGTCTCCGAAACCTTCTCAGCCACCTTTGTTACCCATTCAAGGCTCAAAGAGTCCTCCCTCATTCCGAAACAGTGCACTTCGGGTGCTTAGATGGTCCCCAGTGGCAAGTAAGTTTCTAGCGAACCTCCACATAAAATGCTTAACCTTCGATGGCACGTTCATTCCCCACCAACTCATTTTTGGTTGGTTGCTATGCACTTTTGATAAGATTTTCCTATTTTATCATCTCATGTGTCCGATCACAATTACTAATAGTATTAAGATAAATCATAAATTTTGACCGAAAATATTTAAATAATTACAATATACTAGTATTTCTTAAGTGTTTCTAAAAGTTTCCAGGAATTCCCCGTAATATTCATCTATTGACCATTACATGAGTAAATTTTCGAGTAAACATGTACAAATGAGTTGTAATTTTAGTTTATATCATTGTGTTAGTAAATTATCACAAAATAAATTTTACGGCTAAATGCCACATTTGGTTACTGAGATTACTAAATCGTGTCATGTTTAGTCACTAGAAAAAATTAATATCAATTTTGGTCACTCGAATTACTGAAACTGATCATATTTAGTCACACTCCCGTTAGCCTCCGTCCAACTTCGGTCACTCGAATTACTGAAACATGTCACATTTAGTCACTCTCCCGTTAGTTTCCGTCCAACTCCAAAATAAATGTGACATGTTTCAGTAATTTGAGTCAGGGGCAGACCCACTCTTTGCTTGGGGTTTTCAATATTGACAAACCACAACTAATAAAATGGATTAAATTAGTACATTAAAATAATTATTATTGTTGGTAAAATGTGACCTCTCATCAATTTGACAACCCTTACACCTATCAAATAGAATCTCTTAGCCTCTACTTTGACTGTATCGGGTCGAGATTTATTGGATATAGAGGAAGCGCGGACCACAATGATGGTTCCTCACATTCAGCCTGCGACACAGTCTCGTTCTCAGCCTAGGGGTTCCCGTTCTTACCCTCCACCACCGCCTTTCTTGGTCTCTCGAGTGATGAATTGTGACGGCTCTTTTGTCTCAGATTCTTCTATGACGGCGTATGGGATTACCATTGCTCATTCTCATGGTAAAGTGTATGACGGCAAGGTTGAGACGTTCCTTTGTTCCTACCCGATTCAAGTGGAAGCCTTTGGTTTACTTAATGCTATCTTGATCGCAGCGCAAGATAGGGGTGGGCATTCGGTCGGTTCAGTTTTGACCGAACCGAAATTATGAATACCGGATCCCCGAATTCTCCCAAACCTCAAACCGAATTCGAACCTAATTCAAACCGAATTATAATTCGGTTCGGTTTGGTTTTTAACACAAAACTGAATTTGTGAGGCTACTTGTATCTTCTCCCTTTTAAATTATTTTTCACCCCTAATAAAAACAATAAATATGCAATTATATGCATCATCTATGATAAAATCAAACTTTTCAACACATAATTCATAAAACATTTCAAATATTTAAGTATAAAAACAAGGTTAAATACACTAGTATATCCAAAACTTTCACGGTTGTGCCAATAATATCCAAATTTTCCGAAATACCACTTATATCCAATTCCTTCACATTCTTTAACGGTGTTTTTGGATATACAAGTGTATTTAACAAAAAATATATTTGGAAATGGATAGATTTGGCAAAGAACAACTTTAAAACATGGATATAAATGGTATTTCGGAAAATTTGGATATTATTGGCACAACCGTGAAAGTTTTGGATATACAAGTGTATTAAACCTAAAAACAACTACAAACATAAAAATCCACCATTTGGAGGTTGCAATTATAGTATTTCGGTTTTTCGGTCGGAAATTCGAAATATCGATTCGGTTGAAAGAACCTTGGTTTCCGAAATATCCATATTTCCCGTCCGAATTCCGAACCGAATAGCATTATTTCGGTTTCGATTCGGTTTGGGTTTATCGAAGCGTTTGCCAAACCCTAACGCAAGATCCGATCCCCACATGCATCCGATCTGACTGCCAAAGTCTCACACTTGCACTGCGACAAAATCCTTTCCTCTGGTCTTGGCAGTGTCGTGCGACTATTGCACGTATGGTCTTAGTCATCCAATCAGCTCCCTGGATCCATGTTCAGTTTGTGCCTAGATGTCTTAATGCGATTACAGATTGGGTAGCCGATCAAGCTAGGAGGAACACTTTACCAATGGATTGGGTGTTATTATGCAACATCTTAGCTCTATTGTTGTATTGGTGTAATCTGGTTTCCTTGATTGGGTTGGAATAAAAGAAGTTCTTATTGTAAAAAAAAAATATCAAATAGAATCTCCGAGTCTCTGTACACCACTGTCCAATTGTTATTATGAGAATATAAATCAAATATATAATGAGTCTAATTAACTCCGAAACCTAATTACCTTGCCGAACCAAGTCTCGTTAAACTTTAATTAAATCTCCTTCTCCTCAAGAATAAAATTACTTCCAACTTAAAAAAGGAGAATTAAACTCTCTACTCAGGGATGAAATTGGTCAAGAATGATTTCTGAACTTGGATGGGATCAATTTATGAATGATATTATTTGGTCAAAAATGCAAAAGTCGCAACAACCAACATAAGTGATGAATGTATCATAAAAATCTATTTAAAATATGAAAACATGTGGTGATTCGCTTTGAAAGACGAAGAAGCAATGTACTTAATGAATTAAATTTTTTTGAAATAAATTTAATTATTTATTTATAGATTTTTTATTACCCTTTATAAAATTTGTAAAATTTCTACGTCCGCTACTAATTCGAGTGACCAAAATTGATATTAATATTTTCTAGTGACTAAACATGACATGATCAAGCATTTACCCTTTATTATCTGATATAATACACTGATTCCGAGAATACGCGGTTTCAAATGATAGTTTCGAAAGCATACAGATTATTATAGTGTATATTGGAGAACAATACAACAAAAACTAGATAATGACCATGAAGGTTCTCCTTCTATACACGGGAAAATCAGAAGCGGAGGAACACAATCACTGCCGGACGAGCGGTCTGGTGTTATCCCAAAGCCATTGTGAAGCAGAACCTTCAACCAGAGGGGAGACCTGTAGCATATATACACACACAACCTTTTGATCAGTATCACCAAAGAAAATCATCATATTATCAAAGCACAAAGAGGAAGACTGTTGCGAGACTCTCTCGACTGAAAGATAGGCTCTTTTTTACCTTCTCCCAGACTTGTGCATGGTAATCATTGAGCCAATTAATCTCTGCATCAGATAGTAACGATACTTCCACCATTTTGTTCTGCACCCCCAAAAAAACCAACATGATCATGAGTAATGGCAGAATAAAGGAAAGCAGAGAGGAAAAAGTTTGCTCCTTCGAAATCTCCTCCTTTGGGAGGGGAACAATGGAAGTAGCTTTTGTAGAAGATGGTAGATGATTTTCACCTGAATGGGGACGAATGTGAGTTTCTCAAAAGCCAGGTAGCTTATTCCCCCGAAACGGTATGGAGTGTTTGCCTCTTTCACATGAAGGAGATTCTATGATATGAAACCACAAGAGATGAATGTTATGTGGTAAGGATGAATAGGTGTGTGCAGATCCAGCGAGTGGGTAATGTACCTCGATCCGGATGCCAAAAGCATGATCTTCGTAGTATCCAGGCTCGTTGCTGACTATCATGCCTTTCTGCAAGGGAGTCGTGTTCCCATGTCGGAAGCTGATACTTTGAGGGCCTTCGTGAACGTTCAGAGCAGCTCCCACGCCATGCCCGGTTCCTGATAGATTTGATGAATATATTAATGTTTTATCGAATCATAGAACGTTACAGGGAGTGGGGGTTTAAAAGGAGAGAAATGCACCGTGGCGGTAATCAAGGCCAATTTTCCACAGAAAGGAACGGGCAAATGCATCTAGTACAAAGCCAACAGTAGTGCCAGGGAATACTGCTTCATCCAGAGCTATATGGCCCTGCCATCAATAATCAAATCAGAAAATTACAATCTAATTCTTCATTGTAAAATTGACATCCCATGAGAAGTTAAACGACATATGTACAGTTAGTATTTTGAAAACCCAACAAACTCAACACCTGTAAAACCCTGGTGAAGCATTCCTTTTCATGTGCAGTTGGTTCACCAAAATGCACTGTCCTTGTTATGTCTGTTGTTCCATCGATGTATTGAGCTCCACTGTCTAATAGAAAGAGTTTCTTCGGATCCACAATGCTGCAATTCTCAGGTTCAGGTGTATAGTGTATGATTGCACCGTTTGCACCAGAACCTGAAAAAAATACTCATGTTATGGCCAATCATTCAAGCAAAAGGACAAACAGACGAGGTTGTTCATTTTGAAACTTAAACAAGTTCTAAGAGATATTGAAGGTTAATCTAGTACCACTTATTGTATCAAAGCTAGTGTCGATGAATCCATCCTGTTTTTTTCGAAATTCGAGAAGTTTATCAGAAACGTCCACTTCGGTTAGCTTTGCACCCTCGTGAATTACATCCTCCAGCCAGGCCCAAAACTGTGCTAAGGCAGCTGCATCTCTGCATGTTTTGAATAATGCCAAGTCTAGCATTAAAGAAAAAGAAGAAAAAAAAAACTTCACATATTGCTCGAGCTGAATGAAGAAGGGATGAAGAGTATAAGGAACTCACCTCAGGTGAGCATTTCGCATGCCTTCTAACTCGCTGGCATTTTTCACTGCCTTTGCCAAAGAGATAGGGGATGCCCTATAAACTCCGGATGGTCCCCAAGATTGACCACTGGAGCCATTAGATACTTCACGATTTTTACTCTTGCCGGTACCTTCGCTTCCAAGGCCTTCTAGGTGTTTTTCACAAGCAGCCTTGTAGGTATTCACTATGGCAGCATTAATAGAAGATGGATCCAACCATAGTTCAGTACCTTTGAAAGCCAAACTGCAAGAAAAAAGCCAAGTCTCATTAAACGTTGTCAAAAAAGCAAGGTCTGGATAAAAATCAGAAAAACTAAGTCAGACATTACAATATTGTAAGACTTATTATATCAAGTTCATATATATATCATGCATGGATTACACGAATTTCCATTTCTGCATATCGCCAGATATACTGCCCGATCAGATAGGTATTCGATGGCAAAAAGAAGCTGAGCACACACCTTTCAATCTCGGAAAGAATGGAGCCATATGGCCTCAATTCGACACCTGCATTCTTCAAGTGAATCAAGACTTGTGGAGTGACTTTAGAACTATCAACAAATAATTTGGAATCATCCATCGTGACCACTAAATATGCATACATAACAGGCGAATGGGGAACATCACCGCCTCGCTGCATTAAAAAATCAAAAGGCATCCTTCATATTAAATGCATAGTGGAAAGATCAGATTCAATAAAAAGCCAACAATTCTGTCAAAAGATTACCAAGTTCAGGAGCCAAGCAATTTCATCAAGCATCGAAACAACAATGGCCGAACAACCAGCTCCAGCAAGCTGAGATCTAAGGGACGATAGCTTAGATGCTACATCAACGCCTGCATATTTCAGTTCATGTACCCTGATAGGTGCATTTGGAGGATCTGGTCTCGAATACTTCCATATCTCATCTACGAGGTTCACATCGTACAAGTAAACCAACTCGTGATTCTTCTTAGCTATGTCATCCTTCAGTTCCTCAGCAGCATCAAAAGAGAAAAGGAACTGTTCTGTTCACATATTTAAACACTATCAGCAAACAATCGAACAGAAAAAAAAAAAAAAAAAAAAAAACGTAGCCAGTTCAATGCATCAAAGTTAGAGACGAAATTGCTCACAGGATCAATGGCAACTTTGGCTCCAGGAGCCAAGACATCATTCAACCATTCACTAGCTGTTGGAACTCCAACATTCCCCGCCCGCATCAGAGTCCAACTAGAATTCAGCTGCTTCTCAGCCTAAACCATAACAAGAAAGAAACATTAACAATCGACTCTCAAAATTGCCCACAACTAAAATGAAATTTTCCACTTTTTCCCCAAACCTGGAGAAAGTAACGGCCATCAGTCCAAAGAGCGGCTTTGTCCTTAGTAACCACAGCAGTTCCCGCACTTCCAGTGAACCCAGAGATAAACCCTCTCCGCATATAACACTCGGCAATGAATTCACTCTGTTCCGACCAAACCCGTAATTCCTCAATCAGCTGAATAACAAAATTGAACGATAATGGAAAAGGGGAAACATCATCTTCTCCTGACCTGGTGAGCATCCTGAGAAGGGATAACGTAAGCGTCGATTCCAATCGCAGGTTTGGAGAACAGCTGGCGAAGAGCTCGGAGCTTCGTGTCATCTGATTCGGAGCTATCTGGGGAACCCTTTTTCCGCCGGAGCTCGGAAGACGGCTTTGCGGAGATGGAACTGCAATTCCGAATCGAAAGACGGGATCTTGATGGAGTGGAGTTGAATCCGTGATTGGTTCGGAAAGTGGGGAGGATTGGTCTAGGGAGAAGATTGGAAGAAGAAGAAGAAAAGGTTATGGTGGCAAGGTAGCGAGAAGAAGAGAAACAATAAGAGAGGTAGAGCGGCCGCATGGCTGGCGATTGTAGCAACTGCATATTGGGGGGAAAACAGAGCAATGTTAAGCTACTGAGAAGCTGGATTTGTTTTTCTGATTACTGGTTTGAGGTTTCAGAGTTCAGGGCCAAAGATAAGAAGACGACGACGGAAGTCGTTCAATCCCGTTACCTAACGGCGTCGTTTTGGGGTTGGGACGAACTTGGAAACCTCGGAGACTGTGAAGAAAGGAAAAGGCAAAAAACGCCCGCCTTTTGCTTCTCCAACAGTCGAACTGTACTGTAAAGTTGCACAAAGAAGCTTTCGATCCTTTCCCATTTCCATTCACTCCCTTCATTGTTCCGATCTCTACCCTGCTGCAGATCTTCGTTTCATTTCAAAGCTTTGGCAATGGCGATCATCACTGAGGAACCAGAACCGTCGCCGCCGGCGAAAAGCCCAAAGCCTGATGATAACCGATCTCAGCCCAGCTCAAGAGCAGAGAGTACGAAGAACAGCAGCAGCAGCCCATTTGTTTTCTGGTTCTACTTCACTCTAGGAGTATCGGTAATCACTCTATCAACCGTCTTTCTCTCATCATTTTCCCCATCTTCCGATCCCAAATCGTTTTTCCTCTCACTCCCCGCTCCACTCCGGCAATACTACTCCAAAGGGCGGATTGTGAAGGCACAACTCGCTCTTAACCAGAATCCAGTTGAAGTTTTCGTCTACGAGAGCGAGAAAGGTATGAAATCTGATGCTGAAAAGGTATTGATCGTTCATGGGTTGGGTTTGAGCTCCTTCTCCTTCAGAAAAGTCGTCGACTTTCTGGGTTCCAAAGGGATTCATGGGATTGCCTTCGACTTGCCTGGAAACGGGTTCTCTGCTAAATCGACAGAAGTAATGGAAGAAAGAGGGGATGGTGCTTTTGAACGTTTGTTGGATGTTTATGCTTTGATTAAAGAGAAGGGTTTGTTTTGGGCTTTTGATAACATGGTTGAAACTGGGCAGATCCCTTATGAAGCAGTTCAGTCCCATTTCAGTGAGAAGAAGAGTGTGGTTAGACCAATTGTGATGGGAAGTGAAGAGGTTGGCAGGGCTTTAGGGCAAGTGATGTTCACAATGGGGATAGCTCCTGTTCATTTGGTTTTGCATGATTCAAGCTTGAACATGCTTGCCAATTGGGTTTCTGAAAATTCAGGGTTGTTTAGGAGTGTCACTCTGGTTGATACCGGGTCAAATTCAGCTCTGCCATTGAGGATCCTGGAAGTTCCCTTGGTCAGGGAAGTTGTGTTGGGGTCTAATTTTGTGTATCAAAAGTTGATCAGTACATGCTGCTCAAAAGGGATTGGTTCTGCGGATCTGGATGCACACAGGATGCTTTCGAGAGGAAAAGATGGTTGGAGAGCTGCTGTGGGTACTGAGAAGTTGCTGAATGGTAGCTTTGAGATAGGTGAATGGGGAAGTTCGAAGGGGATGAAAAGGATTCCTATTCAGGTGGTTTGGTCGAGGAGTTGGTCGAAAGAATGGAGTGATGAGGGACGTCGAGTGTCTGAGGCTCTTCCTCAGGCGAAGTTCGTACTGCATGCTGGTGGTCGATGGCCTCAGGTAAGAGATTTGTTCTGATCTAGTACTTTGCTTTAGACCACCAAATGATCTATATTGGAGAATGGTGATGCTAGGAGATAGGTTCTGATATGGTTTTCACAGTCAATCTAAGATTGTATCTTTGTGTCTTACTTTATCTTTATGAACTTGCTTTCACTTTCTGAGAACTTGTAGCCATACGGAATTTCTATAAGGACATGGCAGAAATTACTTTTCTTGTGAGATTCTTCCACTGCCTGCTGTCTTAAGTCTTCACAAATGGCATCCGCCTTGTCTTCTGCATTCTGTAATACTTGTGTCAATAATGGAAACATTTTTTAGAAGCTAGTGTTTTACACCGTCAAATCTAAAAGTTCTCATGACTTATGATGTTATACAAGTCAAATTGGTCAGGCCATTATGTGAACCTTCTAAGTTCTAACTATACCAACATCTTTTTCTTCGTTGATGGTTCCCCAGCAATGGTGCCTTCCTTGGTGCTCTTAACTTGCAAATGTTACGTTTTTAAAGCTTAGTTTCCCCCTCCCGCCATGTTTTTCGGAGAACAAAAGCAGTCTTGAATGTCTTGTCTGAAACTGCTATGCAGGATCTCACCCATAAAGCAGAGATTATTCCTTATGTCACGATGACTGATGAGTTGCCCGCCGTGAGGTCTTCACTAGGATAGCCTTATATGGTTTCCTGTAAACAGTCCTCGTTCTTGTTTATTTGTATGCTGTATGCATATATGTTTAGTTTAGTTCTTTTCTGATAAAGACATTGAAATTTTAGTTTGAATATGTTTCACTTAATTCGATTCACTTAGTTCCTTCTGCTCTAAACAACAGTCTTGTGGTACTATTACGTTCCTCGAATGTTCTTTTGTTGGTCTCAGGATGAGACAGCCGAGGAGATAGGCGAACGAGTAGCCACGTTTGTATCATCTCTACCAAAGTCATTTAGACAAGCTAAAGAGGAGTCTATACCAGACCACATCCAGAAGCAGCTGGATGAGGCAAAACAGAATCCTCATCATCACCACCACGGCAATGGTGACGACCACCTTCATGGACAGGCCTCAGACTACATGGATGCCTATGGGCTTGGCCAGGCATGGGGAAGATAGATTCTGAGCATGAAGTAGCTGCTGCAATGGTGTGGTAGAGATCGACTCTGAGCATGATCTTCAGCACGAAAAAGCACAAACCTCGGATGTCACATATGCCTTTTTTTTGGGTTTTGTTCAATTTTGCAGTTGATTCTCCCTAATCTCTATATAGCTTAGGTTAAAATGCGACTCAGATTATCTGGTTTCCTTACCCCACCCCTCAGGCTGTTTGGTTCAATACAATTATCAAATTAGCTGTTGTAGTGGCTCTTTGGTACGTAATGATGTATACTAATTTGGTTCTTTGCTTGCCCCAAAAGGATCTTTCACGCATTTCCTTTTTGGTAGAAAGCCGAATGACAAAGTTGATTACGCATTGAGTCTCCATTTTTTCAAAAGTATTTTTCATAGGGTGAATTGCATCTTCTATTAAATACAAAAAAATTATTAAATCTAGACATGAAAGTACAAATTGCGTTTGTCATGCTATGAAATAAAGTGTTGGATAAACTCAACTTGTGAATTATTTATTCATTGCAAAAAATGAGTTTTGGAAGAAATATTAATTGAGTTATGCTTCCGTTTCATGTTGGTTTCTCTCTAGTAAAGTAAAATTTACACATAACCAATAGATTATTGATTTGAAGATGTGCTTTTAGAGCATGAATAGAGCTTCTAACACTCCTTGATTTCATTGACCATCTATACGAATTGAGGAAAATGAGTTCGAAGAAGTACTCTCATGAATGGAGAGATATAGAAATTACTCTTGCTCAACTAATAAGGATCTAATGCTCTAGTAAATAGAAAGCTCTCCAAAAAACAAAAAACAAATGTTGAGAAATTTAGAAGAAAAAAAGAGTAAGTATGTTAGAAGGCAAAAGTGCTAAAGGGTATGTCAAAAAGAGCATAGAAGCATTTCAAAACTAAATTTGCTTTTTTGAAAGCTTCACCTTGTGTATTTTGAGATTCGTGTATGGTTACTTGCTTATGATTGAGTTGAGTTTCATGTTATTCATGCACGTTAATGTGGTTAGAGGTCTTTCATGCTATTGTTGATCTTGTAAGTTAAGACATGTAACACTATCTAATATCGAGGTCAAGTGAGGTTTTCTAATGTTCATTGAGTCGTGATTGTGAGTAATTGTTAGAAACATGGTCTTCATGGTTTATATTATTAATAATAGTAGGATAATTATTGTCAAGGTTAGTAGCATTCGAGTAGTATTAAGGTTATTTGACAGATTAATTCCAGTTTTTTTCTATAAATATGTACTTTAGCATTCATTCACAATTAAACAAAGATTAGTAAAAGAAATTTCTCCCAAGCCCTACTCTATCCTCTCATTCTCTCTAGAGGCCTTGGCCATTCACTTTTCCTCCAATTTTTTTCATAGATCCATAATCCTCAATTCGTCTTTAATTCTCAATCACTACCCTAAATTCTCTTCCTAATATATTCTTTTCTACAAGAACTATCTTTAGTTCTTTTAGTATTGTTTGCTTAGGCACAAGCAAAATTCAAGTGTGGGGTAGTTTTTATAACACTCAAATATACCTGTATTAGATACATTTCTCATTCTATCAATGCATCTTTAGTAAATTTTTATACATCTTATATTGATTTCATAATTATTTGATCAATGAGTTTATTTGAGACCTTGATTGTGCTTTAGCATCTTTTTATGTCGTTACAGTATTGTTTTGTATGTTTCAAGGTAAAATGTAATCTTGGATGGATCACATATTGGATCAATATTGAGGACCAAAAAGGTAACCTGAAGATCAAGGAGAATTTCGTACATCAAATAAACTACAATTGAGTCTAGACGCCACAAGTCTTCATATGAACCCAAGAGGAGCCCATTGGAGAAGATCTAGCTCAAACGGAGAAAGCAGGTTGTGGCGGGTCTGACCTCAAGTGGGGCAAAACTCATTGCAAGACTAACTTGTGGGCCATGCAACCCAAACCCACGAAGAAACCGGTGGCGGGCCCAACCATAGGGTCACCGTTGTTAGCCCAAGCCCATCGAATCTTATTGAAGCTTCTTACTTTGCCCCCAAGGCAAAGAATCAAAATTCAAGTCCTACAAGGATGCTTGGGGTTGCATCTTACGAGGAAAATGTCAAAAAACTCCCTCTTCCATTTAGTATAAATATTAAATAGAGGCTTAGACTAGAGTTGTAGGTAAGCCTGACAAGCTTCACAATTACCCTACACGCAATCTTAGAAGGATCGAAGTTCATATACTCGGTTAGCATCCATGAGGGAGAAGAAGATATCCCAAAGTTCTGGGAGAGGCTACACGCAGAGCTAGGGCAGATAATCGATTCGGTTGCGGTTAAACCTAACCGCCAGATCAGTTAAGCGCCAACAAAATAGTGTCAAAACCCCCAAAAGCAAACGACGCCGAGAATGCTTGCGGTTAGCCGCCACCGAAACCGCAGTCGGCAAATCACGACTGAAATTAATGCATAAAAAAAGATGAGTTGTTCCTCACTTTATCTTCCCCAAAATATACCCCCACTCTCGCATCACTCTTTCTCTCTCAGATTTCCAGAAATTCAAAAGATCACCTAATTTAGAATGGATACAATACTTCGAATTACTTGTGAGATTGGGCTTTTACATATGGGATTGAGTTTGTAATTGGCTCACATGCAATCATCGGGTGCTCATCGTTGAAGGAAGGGAAGATGCAGGGAGGAAGAATATCAGAACTCTTTTCGCTCTTCCTCTTACCGATGGCAAAGGAAGGAGGACGAGGACGTAGATATTGTTGGCTGCAAGTTTGTTCATCATCCTCGACGATGCCTAGACATAGTCAGCAACTAGTTCGGTGATTGGCAGATCTGGAATACGTTTACCAGTCTGGCGATCTTGAACAACTTCGCCAGGGAGGAACATAGATCTACGACTGATTACTAGGGTCAAAGAACTATGCGATGGAGAAGGGAATTTGGAAAAAATAAAGTAAGTGGAGAGAGCTGCAAGTTTGGGAGAGGGAGAGGTCCGGTGGTGCGACAAGCCGACTCTTCGACGGCAGAAAGACTCGTCGACCATACGACGGAGCAAAGATGAGTCGACCACGTCTAGGCGATGAAGAGGTCGTGATGAGGACAAGGATTCGTTACTAACGGGCGACGCCGGGTTTGAGTTTGGGAGAATTCAATGGATGTTCACCGACAACCGTGTCTGCTCTGAATTTCCCCAACTACAGTCGACAATCGCAGGCTTTTATCGGTTTTTGGTTAACCGAATAACCGCAATTTACGGTTCGATTTTGCGGTTATCCGACTTACCGGCAATCGTTTAACAACCCTACGCAGAGCATTATTAGAATGGAGATGCCTTCATCGGTGGGTCTTCTACCTTCTCTATGGCTAGCTAAGTCTTGCATTATTTAGTGATGTGAATTCTATAATGACTTATGCATCACTTTCAATGGTTTATAATAATGAGATGCTTTAGTCATCCAATGTTTTTATCATTTATTGTAAGTTACCTTGACTTTGATTATAATATCATCTAAGTTGCATAAGAAACTCTTCCTATATGGTACTTTGATATTATACTAGTATGAATGGAATGCGCAACCTTTCATATATGTATGAGATCGATTTTGATACATTAGATCACCTTAGACTAGAACCAATGTTATGGCTCATTGATTAGTTAGTGGCATGACGCAAAAGCAGGCATTAACTAGTTGTAGTTCCTCTCGTATGTGACGAAAACTCGGTTATAAATGCTTTAGTTGAAGGGATATGACATCGTAATAGAAGAGATCCTATATGCATATCATTAATAAGTTAGTGTGCATGATCATCTAGATGAAGCTACCTAGAACAATAATTTTAATCAATTGTTTTAGTCATTGTTTACCATACTAGCTATTGTTATTTCAAGTTGTTTAAATAGATAGAGCATCGATCAATATTAGGGAACCTCAATCCATCAAATCTACTTTTCATTGCATTCTCATCTCAAATACTATTGAAAGATCCATAGAATATGACAGTTGGCATATCTAAGATTATTACTTTGCGATATACTATAGTCGAATAAGTCATATTCCATAGAAATGATTGTTTTTGGAATTTGAGTGTTTGGGTGGAAATGTGGAATTAGCTGTGCATAGGGCTGCAAATTCGCGAGAAACTCGGCATTCAAATCGAAAACAATTCGTCCGACACTCGACTCGTTATTTAACAAGCTGGCTCGTGAGCCAACTAGTTAGTTAACGAGCCAAGCTTGAGCTAGACCATGCTCAACCTGATAAGCTAACGAGCTAGCTTGATTCGGTGGCTTGTTGAGCTAAGCTCGCGAGCTGCCTTGTTTAGAGCTTGTTAATACAAATGTGTATGAAATTTAGATGTTATTTATAGTTTTTAGTGTTCTTTCTATCATTTAAATTCTTATGTTTACACATTTTTCCAGCAAGAATGATTATAAATCAAGCTCATCTTGAGCCGAGTTTGTACTCAGCTTGACAAGCTATGTTAATGAGCATTCATCGAGCTCTACCGAGTCGAGCTCGAGCTAGATTATTTTTATTCAAGCCGAACTCAAGCTCGAGCTAGATTATTAAAATTCGAGTTCGAGTCAAGCTCGAGCTAAAAAATTAATAAACGAGCCGAGTTCAAACTAAGCAAAAACTCGACTCGATTCAGCTCGTTTGCAGCCCTACTACACCAAAGCCGAAAATAACAAAAATTAATAAACAAGCCGAGTTCAAACTAAGAAAAACTCGACTCGATTCAGCTGGTTTGCAGCCCTACTACACCAAAGCCGAAGATAACAAAAATTGGGACAAAATGTGTGAATATGGTCCATGGACGATCGAGAACGAGACACAACTGCCACATAATAAAGAGCGGACTCCCACTTTCCACCTCTCCTCCATTGTCAGCTCCGACGAGAGAAATACAAAACCAATGGGTTGCTGTGGCGGCGACGAAGACGTCGACGACCCACTTCCCACCCTGACCCAACACCTCAACCCCTCCGTCGTCGAAGCCACCTCTGCCGGAACAGCCCCCAATTTCTCCACAATTTCTCCGATGAACTCCAACTTCTCCGCCCTCTCCTGCCGCGACACCCTCCTCCTCATCCTGGAGAGGCTCCCCGTGGCGGACCTTGCCAGAGCTAGCTGCGTTTCCAGGGCCTGGAACGCGGTGGCCTCCGATGACGAGATTACGAGGCGAGCTTTCATAGCTCCCTGGAAATTGAAGGAGGTCGTCGGGAAGCCTGGCTCCGGCGGGTTCTGGAGGGACAACGGGATCGGGAAATTCGCCGTCTCGCACAAGATTGTCAGAGGGGATTCCGTTGCTAGCCTCGCTGTCAAGTATTCCGTTCAGGTGTTCTTTAATTTGCCTTTCCCCCAATTGTGTTTGATCGGGAATTGAGCAGATTGTATAGGGAAGTTGTTTCCTACCAAACAAATTTTGGGTTGAAATTAGAACTCGATATCTAATTTGGCTTGGATTCCTTTGATATCTAGCTAATCATATTTTCATTTGGTTGTTAGAACATAGTTACTCTGTGTTGGATTTCCTTCACTGAGATTGTGATTTAAGAGGCCTGGAATCTGGTTTAGCAGTTAGACTCTTAGCACTGACTCACTGTTAGCTACCTGAAATTCGTGAAAATTTCAATCTTGATTAATAACTTAGTTAAGACTGGTGCTGGATTCTTGAAGTAGAGCACCCATTTCTTCAAGAAAAAAATTGTGCGATGTACAGCAGCTATATCTGGTTCGTATAGTTGCAGAAAAAAAGTGTTGGGCCTGCCAAGTGAGATTGTCGTGAAATAGATGGGAGGGAACCTGCCATGATGAGATCAATTTGTAGATTGTAGCTCGAACTGCATGTTGGATTGAGGCCAAATGAGTGAATATGAATGATCGGTCTAAATAGGAATGATTCATGTGCCACCTTCTGAACTTATTCTCTGGTTGGTGAAGGAGCATCTGCTGCCTATATTGATTGATTTTTAACCAAATGGTCAATGGCTTAACTGGGTAGTAAGTAGTTTTGTGTACTTCAGAGGGTAACCTATTTGTTCATCAACTCTGCTTCCATACTAGTCTTCTTGCGGACTTATGAATGTGAATTTTCCAGCTCCCAACTCTTTGCATAATGTTTGATCACCAAATGGTCAAATGGCTTAGATGTGTAGGAGGGAGTCTCGTTGTGTACTTTTTGAGCAGTATCTATTCGTGCTTCAAGTCTACTTTCGTTTCTCACCTAGACTTCTTGCTGATTTATGACTGCAAATTTCCAGTATAATACTCTTGTCGTGAAGCATGTTTCCTCTTTTTGTAGTTAAGATATCCAATCCTTTTGAAAGTACAAGTCTCTCTCTTTTCCTCTGCAGGTAATGGACATAAAAAGGCTGAATAACATGATGAGTGACCATGGGATATACTCGCGCGACAGGTTGCTAATCCCAGTTAGTGATCCAGTCCTTTTGATCGATGCCACCTGCTATATAGAGCTGGACTCCTATGCCAAAAGGGAAGTGGCGGTACTCTACCTTACCGGCGAGCCTGACAGGGAGCTCAATCGGCGGTTATCAGACAATGTGACTACAGAGAGAGGGCGTAAAAGGGTCCTTGATTCTTTGAGGAGAAGCATGCAAGTCGATGATGGGACGGCTCTCTACTACCTGACTATCTCCGATGGGGATCCTCGTGCTGCGCTCTCCGAGTTCTCAGCAGATGTCAGGTGGGAAAGACAGGTTGGATTGGCCTAATAGCTCAAATCTCTGGGTTGTGTTTCATTCCCTGTGATTGTATGTATGTGTAATATACTGTCACAAAAAGTATGTTGATGTAATGTGTAGTTGTTATGGCTGGGATGCTGAAAAATGTTACTGTGGTTTGTGTAAGTAAGCAAGCTGTGTGAGTTGTTTGTATCAATGATATTCAATTACATAATTGGAAAAAAAAGTTGTATGGTACATCAATTTCTTCATTTCTGCGGGAACGATTTTGGATTGTTGCGTACTTTGAGTTGGTTTTTTCAGATCCTACAGAGTTCTAGCCTTACAATTTCTCGCCCTTATCGTAGTAGTGCAGATGCAATACAATCCAGGGAAGAAAGAAAATTAGGGCTTCTGAAAGGTTGGACGGGCTGACAAAAGTTTCCACACCAACGAATAGATTTGGGCTTTAGCCTGATTGTGGCAATGTCAATAGCCATTTCTTTAATTAAAAAAAAAACCTTTTTCTTACTTTGATTTTTGGATACAGAAACATAATAATGTTCTAAGACAATTTATTAGCAAAATCTTTCAAAATTTTCTACTTATTAACCAAAGCTTTCAAAGTACAAAGTATTAGTCAAAAAATTTGTAACACAATAAAATATTAACAATTTGTCTGTGATTCGTGAAGCTTCTATTCCAACTTAGATTCATGTTACCAAGTCAATATTATTAACAAAACTGCCAACGGGAAGTTAAGGATTGGCTAATACTTTGTATTTCAAAAGATTTAGCTAATAATTTGAAAAGTTTGAGAGGTCTAGCTAAGAAATTGTATTTGCTCGTTGGAAAATATTGGAATTAGATGTCAACGTCTTATATTTTCTTCGGATCTGTCTCTTCTCTCGACAAACCCCCACCCAATTATTTCCACTCCCACCGATCGCTCATCATAACAGATTATTCATTTGAATTAGGAATCCAAAAAAATGATTAGTGTATTTTCACTACATTACTTGATAGAATATCACTCTATAGAGCTTGAGGCAAAACACCATCAAAAATTTTCACAAGACTACCATTTTCTCTCATCATTTTCAAACGCTCCAACTTCCCTTTAGTTTTCTGCTTCAGTTTTGAGAGGGTGCTGCCGGCACCTTTTGGTGACCAGTAAGAGTGTGCAATGGTTCGGTCGGATCGGAGCGAACCAAAATCATGAGAACAACGGTCCATTAGTGAAAGACATCTTAGAACAAGGATCATACCATTATTGCATTCGGTCCCATTCAGTATGTGTTAACCTGGGCAGCCCATTAGTGCGATATTGTCCGCTTTGGGTCAAGCCTGCACGGTTTTACTTTTGGGTGTCCTCCCCAAAAGGCCTCATACTAATTGGGCTAGGTGGACACTTATATATAAGGGTTCATTCCCTTGTATTACAGATGTGGTACTTGGATTTTTCCATAACAATCCTCCGCTCAAGCCAATGACCACGAACTTCGTGTCCTCACCTAAGCGATTATCTTGATCCGCCAGACACCTTGTATCGATGGGCTTCTCGGTACAAGGATTTTCCAGACGCGGAACTCTCTTTGGTCCGCCAAACATATGTGGATCTCTCCACCAGACAAACGCGGACCTCCCTCGATCCGCCAAATCAGATGTAGCCCAAACGTGGATCTCTCGTTGATCCACCAAACCAGACGCAGATCTCAAATCCCGAGGTCACCGAACGAGGGTCCCACCAAATTGATGTCCATCGCCCTAGAACTTAATCAGGCTATGATACCACTTGTCAACCTGGGCAGCCCATTAGTACGATATTGTATGCTCTGGGCCAAGCCCGCACGGTTTTACTCTTGGGTGTCCTCCCCAAAAGGCCTCGTACTAATTGGGCTAGGTGGACACTTATATACAAGGGTTCCTTCCCTTGTATTATAACGAAAGACTCGAAAAATCTAATAGAGTAACCTAATATGACTCAAATACTACTAACCTTAATAATCCTAATAATAAATATACAATGATAATAACAGTAATAATAGAAACTGCAGGTTTCTATCGTACCCTCCCCTTGAAATCAACCTTGCCCTCAAGGTTGACCAAATTGACATCTTCCTCTGCCGAGATCGTGCGATTCGTGCGTCGATTCGCCCACTCCTCGCGCTTTCTTTTCTTCCAATCATGCTCCATCTCCAAAGTAATTGAGCCCATTTCAAACTTCAGTCCAAAAGCTAGCTGGGGCTCCGCCCCCATCTTTCTCAGCTGCGACCCGATAATTGGTCCAAACGGAGCCCAAATTGCGAATTTCTCCACCCCAATCGACTGGTTTAGCTGACCCCTTCGTCCAAACCCATCAAGAAGATCAGCCCAATTCATTCGGCCCAACGAGATGTGCTGTTGTTGTAGTGCTTCCAAGGATAGCGACCTAGGGTTCGTGAGAAGAGGACCCCAGCCGCCACCAACCTGAGACTCACAGGTACGCCTTGCTGGTCTTCCCTTATGCTTAGTACACTTGGAGAAATTCCAACACAGCAATCCCACCTCTGATACATGTTGCCATTTCTTCTGAAACTTCCACAAAGGCAACTGTAGTTGGACCCCTCTACTCCTCTCGACAAACATAATTACAACAACCAATGTGATTCGTATACTAATACCATTAATCACAGGTGAATGCATCCCCTTCCCTTGGGGTACAGGGACCCAAGACACCTCAATTACTTTATGATTTATCCCACCAAACGTGCCTTCTTTTTGCAGGCTAACTCGATTAAATCCATCAACTAACAAAAGAAATTGATTATTAGTTGAGGTTCCCGAACCTTTGCAAGGAAGCCAAGCCGTAGCAACCTCCGTCTCCTTAGGAGGAGCAGTTGGCCTAGCGCCGACGTCGCCTACAATCAATTCAGTGACAGTTGACGAATCGACCATGAACAGCGATTGTGGAGGGTTCGTCAGCTCCTTTGTTGATCCATTGATAATAGGCGTAGTAGTAGCTGCAACCTCTACGGCCACGGAAGCTGCTTTTCCCAGATGTTCGCTGGTGTGGACGCTGGGTGACAGTGGTGGATTGATTGGGTTCACCGCCTCCTCCGCCCGACGCGCCCGTGTCGCTGCCAACCCGCCTGCCGCCTGCGACGTCGGGCGCTCCCCCGCGTCGGCGCCCACGGCTGCCTTCGCCGCCCCATTTTCCGCGTCGCCTAACGCCATCACCGCGGCAGCCATGGTCAGGCCCGCCGACCGCCTCCTCCCTGCCTTGCCCGCGGCTGTACTCGCCTCCATCTCCACCATCTCGCCCTCGGCAGCTGCCCTCTCCCGCGCTTCCCGTTCGTAGCGGTCAAGAGATTGCTGCAACCGTTGGCTGAGACGAATCCACTCTGAATCGAAGAACTTGGATGGGTTCATTCTGACTCTGATACCGGATGATAGAAACCTATTTCTAGGGTTCTAGCGATTGTGTTGGGAAATTGGGAATTAATGGAGATTTAGAGATTTAGGGGTCGTTTGCTTCATGGATTTAAAAATGAGGGTTTTGTAATTTAAAAACTCAAGGATTTATCAAGGATTTGAGGTATCATGGATTTGTAACAATCCTTTGTTTGTTGGGATGTTTTTATCATGGATTTAAAGGTGTGGGATTTACTACTTGAATTCAAAAATTACATTACTGCCCTTTTCTATACGTTTGACATGTTTATGATATGTACACAAAACAAGGACAAAACTTCAAAATTACCTTACTATCATTTTCTATATGTTTGACATGTTTATAATATGTACACAAAACAAGGACAATACATACTAATAAGCATAATGTTGCCACATGGACAATAATAATAAACGAGAAAATTCCGTTTTAACTTTTAACGTAACATAATCAATTACCAATTCTTTGTCCTCCTTTTCAAAAGTGACATATAACAACATATATTAGAATCGGGAGAACAAAGAATTACACGTTCCATGAAAAGGTCAAAGAAAACTAGAACACAAGAAATGATATAAAAAATCTAACTCATGTTTGCACATTAATTGAACGTTTATATTATTCATTTATTGTTAATTATAGTGTATAATAGTTAAATTTGAAGGCAACCTTGGAATATTAAAAGTGCATGAGGGTATATGGGTAAAATCTCATCAAGGATTTATGCCATATTCCAAATCCCACATCAACATGTGGGATTTATAAGTCCGTGGGGTCCACGGATTTGGACCATTAAAATCCGTGGGCCCCACGGATTTGGTCTCCAAAAAAGTGCAAGCAAACAACGGATTGTACCTACATCCTTGATAGTTGGTTTTTTGGTACCAAATCCATGTACCAAATCCTTGAAGCAAACTACCCCTTAGAAGAGAATTAGGGATTAGGAACAGAATTGGGGAAGAACAGAAAGAACAGCCGAAGCCTCTAGAGAGAAGGATAGACGAGATTTGAGAGAGAAAGATATTAGGGTTTTGGGGAAGGATGGTTTTTCTATTAATTTCTGCTTAATTGAACAAAAGACCCAGAGTACATATTTATAACGAAAGACTCGAAAACCTAATAGACTAACCTAATATAACTCAAATACTACTAACCTTAATAATAATCCTAATAATAAATATATAATGATAATAACAATAATAATAGAAACCACAGGTTTCTATCAGGTATGGTCCAAACATTGGTTTGGTCCGATGCGGTGCGGTATGAACCGGACCATTGCACTTCCCTAGTGACCGATGGTAGCGGATGGCCCTCTTTCTTTTCATTTTGTTCCTTGCTCTCATGCCTCGGTAATAGGCAATTTTCCTCGTGTTTCCATTTTTGTAGATTTTCCAACCGTAATGACCTTCAGTTTTTCTTTTTTCTGTTCTAGGGTTCTTCTTTGGGTTTGCTCTCCTTTTGGACTAGATATGCAGCTTGGGAGACTATTAAAGATTATTTGGTGGGTTTCTCTCAAGTTGGTGGTTTCATCGTACATAGTGAATCCATTCACCATTATCCCTCGCTAGCTTGATGGTTTAGATCTGCTTCCTCGTCAATCTTCAGAGAGTGGCACTACAACAAAACTGCTTTACTGTGAAGAAATTTTCTGTGATGGAGGAAGATTCGTCACATAAAATATTCTTTAAATGACGAAATTTGTAACTCGTCACCAAAACATGAACACAAACTCGTAGACTCTTAAAGGCACTAACTGTAACGGAATTCTTTGGTTTGGCTGTGGTGGAGTCTTCTTGGGTCTTTGGATTTTGTTTCTTCTGCTTTCCTTGGACCAAGTAGTGTTGGCTCTACTCTCTTGTCTTTTCATCTCCGACCAATATGATTTCTCAGACCCTACCACCACCATGTAATCCCAGATTTCAAAATTCGCTGGGTTGAGTTGTTTTCGAGTGACTCCCAAGAGGTGGCTTGCCGCGTTGCTGAGTGCAATAGCCATGATCTTGGCCGGATCGAAGGAGTTGATTGTGCTTGTTACTACACTTTTTGAGTTTACAGGGGTTGGATAAAGTTTTCACATCTTCTGGTGGTTGTTTCAATGTGTTTTTTGCTCCTTTCGTCTAAACCTTTCAAGCATTGATTGTTTGAACCGTTTGGTTGGAGGAGTTTGTTCCTTCTTGATTTGGATCTGGTTTCCTTCAGTCTATTCCTTTTGTAACTAATCATTCAAATTGCAATAAATAATCACTTTGTAAAAAAAATCGTGAGACATACACACATGAATAAGATGGAAATCAAAACCGACATATTCATATCGTATGGCAGATAGCCAGATACGTCATTCTCAAGAAATGGTAACCAAGTACCAAACCTAGTTAGCTCATCCACTTAATTGCATGCATTGTCAAATATGCGAAAAATAAAGAACACCGGAGTTTTTAACGTGGTTTCGTCAATGTGACACTAGTCCACGGTGAGGATCTCCCTCACAGCTTTTAGGCTTTTCTTATTTCTTAATACTCTTCTGCAGGTTTACATGAGTATATATAGGTTAAGCAACCTAAGCCCTAGACGAGATATACAAAGTATAGTATAGAATGATACTTTAAACTTCAACAATTAACACCATCCCTCAAATTGATGTCGGTTCACCAACATCAATTTGCAAGATAAGTACCAATGTCGGCTTGATGCAACTGCTTTTGTCAACAAGTCTGCTATCTGATCTTCTGTTGACAAATAACTCAACTGTATATTTCCCTCTGCAACCAATTGTCGAATGTAATGCACATGAACCTCAATATGCTTGGTTCGATCATGGAGCACAGGATTATTAGCTATCTGAATTGCACTTGTATTATCTCCATAGATCGTCATTGGCATTTTGCACTCAACTCCTAGCTCGTTTAACAGTCGTTGTAGCCACACCATTTCAGAGCACAACTCTGACATAGACCGATATTCTGCTTCTGCCGACGACTTTGATACTTTGTGAATATGAAATAAACGATCGACCAAATCGAAAGCACCAACCAGGTGTAGATCGCCTAGTGTTCAAACACCCTGCGTAATCTGCATCAGCAAAACCCTCTAACTCTGGATTGCCGTCTGCTGGAAAGAACATTCCGAGATCCTGTGTGTGCTTTTGGTATCGCAGAAGTCGGTGAACAACATCCAGATGGGTAGTACGAGCATTCCCCAAGAACTGGCTCACATTCTGAACTGCATATGCTATATCTGGCCTGGTATGAGTGAGATAAATCAAACTGCCAACCACACTTCTATAGAACGTTTGATCCTCCAAAAGTTCTCCACTGTCCCGACTTAGTTTCAAGTTTTGCTCCATTGGTGTTGCACAAGGTTTGCAGTCACTATACTGTGCAGTTTCCAACAAATCAATCACATACTTCCTTTGACTCACAAACAAGCCCTTCGAAGATCTGGTAACTTCCCACCCCAGAAAATATGACACCTCGCCAAGTTCCTTAAGATTAAAGGGCGAGTGCAGAGATTTAGTTAGAACCCGAATACCATCCACATCACTGCCTGTCACGATCATGTCATCGACGTAGAGAAGCAACCCTACCACACCCTGAACAGTATTTGCGCAGGAACATAGACGGGTCACTAGAACTTTGGATAAAACCCGCCTGAAGAATAGTATGATGGAACTTCTCAAACCATGCCTGCGGCGCCTGTTTTAGACCGTACAACGATTTGCGAAGCTTACAAACCACATCCCTGCCCTTCTTGTCGTAACTAGCATGACACTCCATATATATTGTCTCTTTTAAACCACCATGCAGAAACGCATTCTTCACATCGAGCTGGATAAGAGACCAATTCTTCATGGCGGCCACTGCAAAAATACTACGAAAGTCTGCATGCGTACGACAGGGGCAAATGTCTCGTCATAATCTATGTCAAACTCCTGGCGGAAACCCTGTGCCACTAGGAGAGCCTTATGACGCTCAATTGTCCCATCAGGAAACATTTTGATGTTGTAAACCCAGCGATTACCCAGCACATGCATACCCGGAACGCGTGGAACGATGTCCTAGGTGTGATCAGCTTCTAATGCACGTGTTTCCTCATTCATAGCTGCATCCCAGTCAGGATGCCCAACATCAAATATATAATGACTAGGAAATGAAATCGGCTCCGCAGAGAAGGCAACATAATCCTGCATTCTGAGGGGAGGTTGTCCAAGTGTGCTCCGGTTGGACCGACGAGGTGGTGGTGGAGACCGGGGAGCATTGGAACCACTCGAGTCACTAGAGCTACTCGAACTCGAGGAAGAGATGGATTCGGCCGATTATGCAGACTGGCTGGGCGACGAAGAGCTGGCCAAGAGAGAGTGATAAGATCCAGCCAAATGAGGTGGAGGAGATGGTGGATCAGGCGGCCCTTGAGCATCCTCAACACTAGTAGAACTATCGAAGACAGGGAAAGGATGAAGGAACTCCAATGTGGGCATGTGATCAGCTTCGGCAATGGAGTAATGCATGTCCTGCTCTAGAAAAACTACATGGCATGAAATTCTCATACGCCATTCAGCCGGATCGTAGCATAAATAGCCCTTACGACGATCACTATAACCCATGAAAACACACCTTGCTGTCTTTGATTCTAGTTTATGACGATCCTTCTTCTGCAGAAGAACAAAGCAAACGCACCCAAACACACGTAGCCAGGAGTAGTTTGGTTGCTTCGCGAATATGCAGAAGTAAGGGGAGCAGTCATTCAAAGTAGGTGTAATTTGACGATTAATGACGTACACCACTGCATTAATGGCCTCGACCCAGAAACCACATGGAACTTGAGACTGAAGAAGAAGCGCTCGAGTCAATTCGAGTACATGACGATGTTTACGTTCCACCAACTCATTTTGCTGTGACACTCCAGGACATGATTGCTAAGATATAATTCCATTAGAACGATATAACTCCAAACGGATTAGAACTGAACTCACCCCCAGGATCCGATATGAATTTTAAATGTCTTGCCAAACTGAGTACGAATAAGCTGAACAAATGCCATAGCATGATCTATAAGCTCAGATTAGCGGCGCAAAAAATAGATCCACACATAGCGAGTGGCATGATCAATAAATAGAGCGAAATATCTATATCCCATGTGAGAGGTAACTGGTGAAGGGCCCCATAGATCAGTATGAATAAGATCAAATGGAGACTCATATAAAGTATCACTAGTGGAGAAGGAAGACTGAGATGTTTTGGCTTCAATACACTGAACACAGGGAGGTGGCTGGCCAAATTTGGATGTTAGGGAATCAGGCAACAAATTGCGACGAAACATACTAAGCAATCGAGCATTATGAGGATGGCCAAGACGGCGATGCCATAAATTCCAAACAGAAGTACGTACATTGAAATTCAGCGAGTCCAAAGGCCGAACTGAATAGGCCAAAGAATCATCCAACACTTCACAAATATGACCCTTATTCAATGAAAAACAATTCTCAACAAAAACATCAGCTTCTTCAAATGAATCTCCTCCATCCGAGAGATCTGCTGCCCCAGAATCAGCCACCTGCGTCGCGCCTTCATCCACCCGAAAACAAGATTCATCCTTCAAAAGAACTAGTCCCCGATTATACTCTTCAAGGACAAAAACCCTGATTATCAAACTTGACCTCACACCCATCCTCCGTTAACTTGACCTCAACCAGGCTCTGATACCATGTCAAGAACCAGTTGATCCAACCAATAACTCGAGTTGTTGGGGAAAAGGTTATGTTGGATCTTATACCTCTCTCTAACACGCTCCCTCAAACGAAAGCCAACCCATGGGCTTGAAGTTTGCACAGGCCCGCCATACCATGTGCTTGAAGACAACTGTTAATATTGGGAGTCGTGAAGATTCGAACACAAGACCTCTCGATCACAGAAAGCTCTGATACCATGTCAAATATGCGAAAAATAAAGAACACCGGATTTTTTTAACGTGGTTTCGTCAATGTGGCACTAGTTCACGGTGAGGATCTCCCTCACAGGTTTTAGGCTTTTCTTATTTCTTAATACTCTTCTGCAGGTTTACATGAGTATATATAGGTTCAGCAACCTAAGCCCTAGCCTAGATATACAAAGTATATTTACAGAATGATACTTTAAACTTCAACAATTAACATGCATGTGATCATGATGTTCATCTACAATGTACTAGATGTGGATATATATTGGGAGTGGACATTGGTTTGATAAACTTGAACATGATCCAACCAAATTGAGAATTCGGTTTTGCGAGCCGAACTTACATGCTTCTTGTTCTTGACTCAAAAATTGATTGGATGATGTCAATACTTGGATACTAGCGTGGGCCCCGACCATTTGGCCGGAGAAAGATGAGGTATGAAATTTGAAATGAAGAATAAAAAATGTTTAAATTAAACAAAAAATTCCGTTTATTAAGTTTATTAAAATTAATACTAATGAAAGGGTTTTCTTTTCTTGGAAAAATATATATCCAATTGAGAGTAATGAAAGAAAAAGGGGATGGCTCTTTAATGTAATGGGGTGTATAATTTATTGTTGTATAGTTTTTTTTAGGAAACATGTGATAAAAATAGTGAATTTTAGTAGGAAAGAGACATGAATGATGCAACGAATCAAAAATCAGCCTTATGAACCAAAATTAAGTACCTATTACCTTGTGAAACAATATTTTTTCTGTTAATATGATGAGGTGGAGTAAGTTTTATAGAAACCGAATTCCAGAAAATCGAATTAAAAATCGCCTATCCTGCCGGTTTTCGGGAAATGAGCATCTCACAATCGTTGCTAGCTTTTAGTCGGCCCGTTGGACGATTAATTTGCTTTATAAAACTTTCATCTTGTCATCATTGTGCTTTCTGGTTTTTTGCCAAACCATGATAAAATTTAAAGAAATCAAGAATGAACAACACGATTTGGGATAGAAAACACCGTTCCTGTATCCCTAGAAAATGGTGGTAAACACGGACTCACCTGCCAAATTGGTTTGGATTGAGATTTTTATCGGGTATCAGGGAACCATGTGATTATAAATTAGACTTGATCAAAACGGACCAAAACTTGAAATTCGGCATGTTTGACCGACCCATGCCAAACTCTAATTATTCTTTACTTTTAAACTTTCTATTTGAAAATAAAAAATAATGAAAGAAAAGAGATGTCTGCAATTCGCCATTTGCACATCACTGATTCGGGAATAAAACTATAGAATTTCGAAAGAAAACTGAAAATGTTTAGGATCGTTTTAATGTTAAAAATAACCAAATAGATCTTTCTATTTAGTTTTTTACTAATAAATACCAAACGATTCCCTATAATATACACTATAATTTAATCATTATGATATCAAATAATTATATAATATATATTTGAAATGATAAAATTTTGACTAATTGGGTTGGTCGAGGTTGAATCATTGAATAACTTTAAAATACATTATATTTTAGTCACTAAGATATAAAATAATAGTATAAAAATATATATTATGCTAGAGAAAATAGCTTGTTTTATAATGGCAAACCCATGATGAGTGTCTTATTAATGAATACGGTAAGTTGGCCCGTTCCACAGAGGAAAAAGAAAAAAAATTGACACTCCCTATTCTACCCTTCCTACAAACGCTCCTGGATTCGAGAATTTGAAATGGGGAAGGGTTTTTTCCTCTCTGCGATTATATGTTTTTAATTTAAAAAGATACAACAAATGTACTTAGTGTGATTGATTATGATATTTGTTTTTCTTTAAAGTGGTCATGGTTCGAATCCTATAAGTGTCTTATTAATGAATAAAAAAAAAGTAATTGTAAATACCAAAATATCCTTCCTACTTTCACTTTAGATACAGGAAATTTGAAATGGAGCTAAGCGGACCAACCCATCACCAAATCGAACCCTAACCCAATTCTCGTTACCTCTCACCTCACTCCCTAAAATCTAGTTTCATTCTCTTCTCCTCCTCTCTTCACTCCTCTGTTCATTACTTCTCTCCCAGACGCAAACTACAGCCTGCCAACAAGGCAGCCGCAATCAAGCTCCTGTTTTCAAACCAAGTCGAACCGACTAGTTCAAACCAAGGCAGATTAAGCCATCAAGCTGGTTTGACAAGTGATTTGAGACTTAATGGGTTGGATCGGATTCAACCAGTTCAAATCGGTTTTAAGGTAATATGTGAAAAAACCTCTAATACAAAAATAGATTACGCATATATTTGACATATTTTAAAATAATCTCACTAATCTACATTCATATATTATCAAATTATTTCTTCAAAAGAAACATATATTACAACAATATCAATGCTCATCTTCAAATCCAGCTTTGACTGGTCAGACCCCTCGATTTTAACTGGCTTAACCGATTTGGACTAGTTTGATTCGGTAACCGGAGTACATTCCAACAGTTTAGGTGACCGATTTTGGTCGGATCGTTTGAACCAACTGGGTGGATACAAGATTAACAACATTGGTTCAAACTCGGTCATGCATTTATGCTCTATTGGACTTAGTTGTGATGAGATTCGATTTGATTTTGTTCGAACCGACCGAATATTCACCGTATTTATCAAAGAATCCAAACTTTGGAAGGATTTTAGTTTCAGCCACAACTTTCAACTTTGCATGCGAACTAGCTAGCAACGACAATATCTGTCCAATTTCATTAGATCAAAGAGTGCAAGTTTTAATTTGTCCAGCCTAGTAACACAATATTCTTTTACTTCGTTACAAATTCAATGTTGGTCCGTCAAATTCAATACCTACATGTATACATGTCCAATCATGTAACACACGTGCAGAAAGTCAAGAAGGTAATACATGCATAGCATAAGAGTTCCATCCACGTCGAAATCTACGGATTGGCGAAATATGAATTTGTACTTTGGAACCCTTTCAGCGGTTGTAACTACGACTGATTATGAACCTAATCACGTGTTCGATTTTAGGCATAACAGAATTTTAGACGGTTGATTAGGGGTGAGAATTGGTTGGTTGAATTCACAAATCTATCAAAATCCATCCGCAATCGATCTACCCAATATATTGTCTGTGACTCTAATGGGCGAGTTTGAGTTGTAAAATCACTAAATATTGAATGAATGTGGTCCAACTTTTTAACTTCAAACCGTCAAATATTTAACCTATAACTTTTATCTAAACTAAAATCCAAAAAATCACAAAAAAAATTTCAATTTCCATCAAAAGATCATCTCAAATCTCTAGTTATAATTTCTTTTCAATTTTGAATGAATATCTTTTCAAACCTACGGGTATAGATCATAATTGCAAAGTATAAATTTATTTTTCGTGACTCGATATACTTATATCATATGTTCACTTCCTTCTACGACTCCTTAATAATTTTTTTATCGTTTGTATACTAATTTGGCTTATTCAGTTGTTCATTTCAGGAGTGTTCGATGAGTGATTGTGACTCTAGACTTGGACAATTAGCTAGATTCATGATGAAACTCCATCTGTGTTTTCTTTATTTTGTTATGATTAGACTTAGACCACGTACATTTATCAGTTGAAATTTTTTTTGTGATATGTGATCAAATACTAGTATCAAACTATTAATATTGAAAGCTAAACGATGCGTGCATCTGATTTATGCATTAATGTCACGCAACCTAACTCACCCACCGAACCCAACCCAACAACCCCATCATTTGCGATAACCCAACCCAACTCACCGTTAAGTACACGATTACAGTGGGCAGAACCGACACCTGAAATTAGGCGTGTCCTATTTTCATAATGTAAATATTTAATACATGTAATAAAAAATTGAACTTATATGTATAATGGCAATATACCTTGTATCATCTCAAGATGGTATCTTTTGATCCCTTATATAAGCATAGATCGAATTTTCTTTTTATTTTATTTACAAAAAAAAACTTACATGTGGTGACGGTAGTGGCACATGCGTATTTATCCGGGCGCCGCATTCGTTAGGCAAAACATAAATGAAAAAACGTGTCTGGTGCCGACAATTGAAACACATACATACGCTACGCTTGGCTGTTGTTTGATTACCTAGTCAGCTGCTTCTGCTTCTGCTGATGATAAGGTTTGTTCCCTTAAGAATAGCTAGCTTTGCTAGGATTTACCCTTACACCCAGCTTTCGTGGATCTTGCGACCGAGTACGTAGGAGTAGCGGTCGGATACAACAATTGAGATATATATATATATATATATATTTTATATAGGTGAAGATTCGCTGAATATATCATAGATTTTCCATTTCATGTTTAATAGCATTATTATATTATTGTATCTAAGAGAGAGCTGAGAACTGCATGCATGCAGTTTCAGAAAACCAAATTCAGAGCACAAACTTTAGTCATCCTTGTTGTCCTCCTTGCCACTTGGGCATAACCAAATTCATCGCTCAGCCAGATTATTATACTCTACATCAAAGGTATTGATTGAGAAACAAGCTTATATTATAATTCACCAAGTCGCTTTTCTGTTTTTTTTTTTTTGGATTACTTTGTCGATCAATTTTGTAACTACCCAATCATTTTTTTTTATAAACATATTGTTCGTATTGGACCTATATCTTTGCACAGTTTTGATTATTGGGTGCATTATCATGGTGATTTCTCCGGAGGTCATCCATCTTTGCATGCTTGCACTGCTCCAACACTGGACTTTTCTATTTTCACCATAGAATGTTTGTTAGTTAATGTTTGAATGTTTTGTTATGAATCATATATATCTCGTATGTTTTGTCGATGTGTAATTTACCTAAAGTTAAAATTCTTATTATTGCAGTTTTTTTTACCGTTCTATTACGGTTCTCGAAGATATTTTTCTAATGGAACGAGGAGACATTGCAAAATGGGATGTCTCGGTAATTGTTGAACATGTTCTCCTTCATTATTTATTTATTTTATTTTAGAAAACTCAAGGTCAACTCATTTTGTTTGTAAAATGTCACTAAGAACGCATCATATATAGTATTTGTCCGTTAATTAAATGAGGAATTTCAACTGCAATCAAATCAAAATGCAACATAACTGATATGCTGCTAGGGGGAAAAAAACATGCAATCTCACCCTGGTGGAAATAGGAGTGGAGCCAGGACTCAAAATTCGGGTGAACGAGATTCCTTTTGGGTATTATCGTCAAAATTTAAAAAACAAAATTGATAATAATAATAATATAGAAGGATAACATTATTTATTTATCATAGTCTTTCAAAATATTATTTGAGATCGTTAAAAGATCTAAAACATTATCTAAACTGAAATTTATGCTACAATATGTTCAAGATTAATAATTAAATTCCCAATAAAAAACTAATCATTCTTTTCAATTTGTACCATATTATGCACTGTTATTGCACCTTAACAATAAACGTCTGTGAATACTAGAATTAAAAAAAAATCATTCTTTATATGTTTAAAATTATTCTTAAAATGTAAATTTATAAAGAACTTAATTCGTCTATTAAATTTTGAGCAATTATGTAATTACAAAGAGAAAAACGTACAATTTGCTTCAACAGTGAATTGAAACCCAGTCCATGGTTCTCTTAAATTTTCAGAACTTAAGGTTGAATTAACGGGTTGGATTAAGAGCGACCCACTCGAATCTGGCCTAATTATGTTCACATCAAACAAAAGTCAATTTCTTCCTTGGAAAATTTTATTCATGCCACCTTTTTTTTCCGGAACTTATAAGCAAATAACGTGAATGCAAAAAAATGTGAAAACGCAAAAGAAAGACTTTTTTTGTAAAGAGAAAAAAACGGAAAAGAAAGACTGTATGAGGAAGAAAGGAAATATTGAGAAAAATCACGACACGAAGGAAGAAGCAATTTTACGTAAGCCGGCCTAATGCAAAGTATTTATTAGACGTGTACAAAAGAAAGATCTAACTCAATTATTATTGTCTGGGTATTTAAGGCAATCAATTAATAATGGCCAATCAATGACATCTGCTGCTACGACTTTGGCCTCCCAATTGGTTTATCTGATCTTTGAAGTAAAACAAAACCATCAAAAAGAAAGTGTGTAACAGTTTCCCCCCACGATAATTATAGGGCTGAAAATTTGTCTGTCCCGTCCCTGTCCCTATCTGAACCGTCCCTGAAAGGTCAAGATGTATAACCGTCTCGTCCCGTCCCTGTCTCCTTCTTGACCCTGTCTGACCCTCAAGGGTTGGGACGGGACGGGTCAGTGAGTCGACCCTAATCAACACACTACTTTTTTATAAATTACGTTTTGATACCCAAAATTATTTTTTCTTACAATTTAGTACCTAGATTTTATTTTTTTTACAAATAAGTCCATAAATTTTGATGGTAAACTTACGTTTTGATACCCAAATTTTTTTATTTTTACAAATTAGTACCTAAACTTTTAAAACTTTACAAAAAGGTCCAATGAAGTATGAGATATTTGTTGTTGCTAAGGGTCACATGGTCAAAACGTGACCCGTCCCTAAGTTGTCCCGACCCGTCCCGACCCTTACAGGGTCAACAAATGACTCGTCCCTAATCTGTACCTGTAGACAAACTGACCCATCCTGGGTCTTCCGGGACAAGCTTTCACCCCTAACAATAATAACTTGTTCTTAATACATCAGAAGTCGAAAAATATCATCACATCAATGATGCATCATATACCTAACTATTGGGTACGTGCTCAATAAATTGAACACTATGACCTCCCTTTGAAGTGAGAAAATAATGACTAGGCAAGAATGGCTGGGATATAACAAAAATGTATACAGTACGAAGCAGTTATTAGTAAATTGACGGTGATTCGACCCACATTTATATCGGGTTTATTATTTCAACTAGTCAATTTTTTTCGAGGAGCCTCTTCAGTTCTATATAGAGCTATAGTTACTTCAATTTAATTAGCATGATTTTACCCGCCATTTTTAAAATTAAAACTAAAAAAATTCGTCACACCAGTAAAATTAATCAAGACTTTTCCACCCATAATTGGCCATTCTATATCAAATATTGAGCTTGCCACGCAAATGCATCCATTATGTTATATGCCTCTTTCGAAATTTGGTTGATAGATGTGACACAAGCATTTAATAATCTTCTCCCACAGGCCACAATCTACATAGGGAGATTCAGTCTTGTGTCTATCAATTACGAAACAAAATCTATATTTTCATACAATTCTATTAATATTATTCAAATAAATTCATTTCTATTCGTACTACAAAATTAAAAAGAAAAATAGAAGGAAAAGCTTCACAGTTATTTAATTTCTCTTTGTCACTTTGCCCACCACCCTCTTTTATAAATACCGCCACGCCACACCTTTTCTCATCATCGCCCTATTCCAAAATCCAAACCAACAGTACTTCCCAATTATTTCTCTGACGTAGTCCTCTTCTTGCTCAAAGAAAACAAGAAATAAGCCATCCATCAGCTGGTTAGTTTTCTGTGAAACTTGACCCCTGAAAATTCCTCTTAACGCGCAGAAGCTCGAAACGGCGTCGGAGCAGGAAGAAGAGGAGTATTGCTGTTGTTGGTGCTGCTGCTGTATTGCCAAAGGAATGCAGAGCATCATCGATGCCTTGAGTGGCGGCCAGAGGAGGAAAATCAAAGGCACGGTGGTGCTGATGAAGAAGAACGTGCTGGAGTTCAACGACTTCAACGCTTCGATCGTCGATCGCTTCGACGAGCTCTTTGGCCGGGGAGTTTCTCTGCAGCTCATCAGCTCCGTCCATGGCGACCCGCGTAAGTTTTCGTTTTTTTTTTATCAAACCTGTTTTTTCCCCCTAAGGTACCTGTTTTTTTTGTTTTTTTTTTATGTTTATTTTTGTTCCCCAAAAAACATAGCTTGGTGGGTTTTGTTCTTTTGAGAAAGAAAAGTTGCTTTGTGTTTTGTTCCGTCTGATGTCTTTAAAAAAAATGAAATGTGTCGTCTTTTGGGTTTGTCCCATTTGTCTTTCTTTCTAGTGTTTAGTAGTGGAGGAGGAATAAGGTTCTTATGCTCATATCAGTTTCTTTTTCCCCCCAATTGCCTCATGAGAATGATGAGATTATGTTGGATGGGTGCAAAAAATGCAAATGATAGGTAGTAAATCGAAGGTTGTTTGGCGACTATGGGTCTTGTCCAGCATCTAGCTTGTTTAGGCGTTAAGTAAGTGTATTTAGACGGCAAAAATATCAGTTTGTACCAAAAATGATTACTTAACCAGTAGTTTAATTTACAACACTTTTTAGTTAACACTTAATAATAATAAAAACATAGTTTACAATTTCAAGATATCATAGTTCAATAGCTCTCAACGTTGTCAAGCTATTAAAAATATTGAGGAGAAAGAAGAAAAAAAGCGAGTTTTGAGAAGATGTGAAGTTCCTATTTTGATATTGACTGTCGTCTAACTCTGCTCGAATATACATAATTAGGCAACACTTAGGAATTACCGTACTCCTTCCAAACGTTATGAATCACTAAACTTATAGACAAATCGTTTTCGGTGTTACCTAACACCTTGGAAGTGTCTAAGCGTAAAAGTTAAACTCAATCTTTTCGAACCATGAGTAAATCTGAAATCTCTGGAGAAAGAGTTGTCAAAAGCAAGAGACCATTAATGCTGTGAGAGAGAGTTAGGTGGTGTGAATATGGGAGGGAGACCAGGCCATCAATGGTGTCAGTACCACCATCGACGTATCAGTACACTTGTTTTAACTTTCTTCTTCCGCTTTTCCTTTCCTTTCCTTGCTTGCTTTTATGGTCGACAGACAGAGTTGGTGGGAGAGATTTTTAATTTGCAACTTACCAAACTACGTACGTACATTGATTGACTGCGAGCTAGCGTCATGTGACTTCCATCTACAACTGCCATAGAAATCGATCCACCAGTTTCCCCGACCCAACCTCTTACTCTTGTTCTTAAGCAACCCAAAAAACAAAAACAATACGAGGAAGTTGGATTCTGACGATACCATTCCGTTCTAATTGGTAGATCGAGTTTATATTGGTGTATTTTGAAAGTAAGAATACGTTGTGTTAATTTTCTGAAGTGATCATTTCCCCGTTTCGAGCTATCAATTTTCAGTTAGCTTGAACATTGCTCAACCATAAAGTTCGGAATTTGATTTTGAGCCAAGGTAAGGTAGAGATCAACTCAACTGTTGTTTTCTATGCATTAAATTCCAATCGTCCTTTCCAAGCTTAATTACCAAGTACTATAGTTGCAGGTTTGGTTGTGATGTGACTGAACAAGATGGTATAAAAGTTTATAAGTTATTAGTTGATCAGTAAATGAATAGTAACATGGTCTGTCAAAAAAATGAAAAGAACAGTAACATCCTAGGTAAGAGTGTTGTGCCGGTTTTCTAGTCTTACTGCAGATTAAAGGAATTAGATAAAATGATCCAGATTCAAGATGAAAGCTGTAAGAATATCGTGTAATCACCAATTTTAACCAAAACGGAGAACACAATATATACATCCATGTCCATGATATGACTTGAGGGATTTTTCATTGCACTTCTGTTTGGTGCAGAGAATGGCAACAAGGGGAAGCTTGGGGAGGCAGCATACTTGGAGAACTGGATCCCGACAATCGCTCCATTGAAAGCCGGCGAAACATCCTACGACGTTACCTTCGAGTGGGAAGAAGAAGAGATCGGGATCCCGGGAGCGTTTCTCGTCAAGAACAATCACCACAGCGAGTTCTTCTTAAAGTCTCTCACGCTCCAAGATGTTCCTGGACAAGGCAGGATCCACTTCCCCTGCAACTCCTGGGTTTACCCTGCCAAGCGCTACACCAAACACCGGGTTTTCTTCACTAACAAGGTATGTCTAAACAATGTCGTTTGCTTGCGGTGCTGTTAGGTTAAAATTAATGACTAGCGTTTTCCCATGCTTTGGTTTTTTGAGCCAACAGTCGTATCTGCCACACGAGACGCCGTTGCCATTGGTGAAGTACAGAGAGGAAGAGCTGGCGGCTTTGAGAGGAAATGGAGAAGGGGAGCTACAAGAATGGGACAGAGTGTATGATTATGCTTACTACAATGATTTGGGAGATCCTGATAGCGGCACAGACAAGGCTAGACCGACTCTGGGAGGATCGGCGGAGTACCCTTATCCTCGTAGGGGAAGGACTGGCAGGCCGCCTTCCAAATCAGGTAGAGCATATTTTCGACGATTATATTTACCATCCTATTTACATTTCGTTTTGAATTCTGAGCATTGTGTATAATGCAGATCCCAACGTAGAGAGTAGGGTGCCACTACTGATGAGCCTAGACATATACGTCCCCAGAGACGAGAGATTTGGTCACCTGAAGCTGTCTGATTTCCTTCTCAATGGGCTCAAAGCCATTGTGCAAGTCGTGAAGCCTGAGCTGGAGGCTCTGTGCTCTGAAAATCGCGACGAATTCGATTCCTTTGACAATGTCCTGAAGCTGTACGATGGTGGGGTGAAGCTCCCTGGAGGTCCTACGCTCGATAACCTCTGGAAGGATGTTCCTTTAGATATCATCAACACGATTTTCCACACGGATGGCGAACGGATTCTGAAATACCCTTTGCCAGAAGTAATCAAAGGTACTTACATTGTGCGATATTTATATAATGTGGCAATGGAGAATTATCGATGTTTAAGTTTTGGACTCACATTTCTTTTCTTCTTGGTGTTGATGATAATTTTGAGCAGAGAGTAGGACTGCTTGGAGAACTGATGAAGAATTTGCGAGGGAAATGTTGGCTGCGCTCAACCCTGTTGTCATTAGTCTTCTTCGTGAGTTCCCGCCGAGGAGCAAGCTGGATTCTAAAATTTATGGAAATCAGGACAGTTCAATTAGTGAAGAACACATAAGACATCAGCTGAATGGATTGACCGTAGGCGAGGTAAAATATCTCTTAAACATAAGTTATTCATACTAGAATCAATTGTCACTAATGTTTCTTTTGGATCTTCAGGCAATCAAGACCAACAAGCTATTCATACTTGATCACCATGACACACTGATGCCATACCTAAGGAGGATTAACAACAACACAACCTCCAAGACCTACGCAACCAGAACGATCTTATACCTGCAAAGTGATGATACATTGAAGCCGCTGGCAATCGAATTGAGCTTGCCACATCCCGATGGAGATCAGTTCGGAGCCATCAACAAAGTGTACACTCCACCTCCAGCAGATCACAAGGAGGGCAGCCTCGAAGACACCATATGGCAGTTGGCCAAAGCTTATGTAGCAGTAAACGATTCCGGCTACCACGAGCTCATCACCCACTTCTTGCACACTCATGGCGTGATCGAGCCATTTGTAATTGCAACAAACAGGCAGCTCAGCATAATCCACCCGATCTACAAGCTTCTACACCCTCATTTTCGTGACACCATGAACATAAACGCCCTTGCGAGACAGATCCTCATCAATGGCGGAGGATTGGTGGAGTTAACGCTCTACCCTGGCAAGTACTCCATGGAATTCTCTTCGTCACTATATAAATACTGGAACTTCACTGAACAGGCCCTCCCTCAAGATCTCAAGAAGAGGTAAATTGATCAAGAGTGACAATGAAAAATGAAAATTACCAACTTTTTTTTTATAGCTCATTTAGACATTTCATCGAACACCTTGCAGAGGAATGGCTGTTCCAGACCCAGAGTCCAAGCACGGCCTCAGACTTCTGATCAAAGACTACCCATACGCCGTCGACGGGCTCGACATCTGGTCGGCGATCAGAAACTGGGTAGCCGATTACACATCACTGTACTACAAAACCGACGAGGAGATCCGTAGCGACGCCGAGCTCCAATCATGGTGGAAGGAACTCGTGGAGGTCGGCCATGGGGACAAGAGAGACGAGCCATGGTGGCCCAAGATGCAGAATCGAGACGAGCTCATCGAATCGTGCACGACAATGATCTGGATCGCGTCGGCGCTCCACGCGGCCACCAATTTCGGGCAGTATACCTACTCCGGCTACATGCCGAATCGCCCCACCATCAGCCGGCGGTTCATGCCGGAGGAAGGGACGCCGGAATTCGAGGAGCTGAGGGAGAACCCAGATAGGGCTTTCTTGAGGACGATCACGGCGAGGCTCCAGACGCTGCTAGGGATCTCGCTGATTGAACTTCTGTCGACGCATTCTTCGGACGAGGTTTACCTAGGTCAGCGGGACACGGCGGAGTGGACGGCGGATTTGGAGGCGGCGGCGGCGTTCGAGAGATTTGGGAAGGCATTGACGGAGGTTGAGGAGAGGATTGTGGAGAGGAACGGAGAGGAGCAGTTGAGGAATCGGTATGGGCCGGTGAAGATACCGTACACTCTGTTGTTTCCGACCAGCGAGGCGGGCCGGACCGGCAAGGGGATCCCGAATAGTATTACTATTTGAATAATCGGGCCCAAGTGGAGATGGCGCGTAATAAACGGCTATGGGTTGTTGCCTTGTTGGTATATAATATTAGTGTGGTGTGAATTATATTTAATTTGATTTAAAATTACATACTCATGTTAATTGTAAACCCATCCAACTCTTGTATGTAATCATGTCTTGATAATTTATATAATTATATTAAGTGTGCAAACATATAAACTATGTAAAACATGCATATCATGTGTTATTTTCACTAGTCTTAAAAATAAATATGCATTATTATGTCATTTTATACCGTTCCCGGTTCTATCATTAAAATTGTCTATTTTTTGCCGGTGAAGTTTAGCCTTATTCACTAAACATATCAACATATTTTGGTTAACTCATATACAACAACATAGATTAAAGATTCTTCCTTCTGCGTTCTGTCCTCACTGTGTCTTAATTATCCTTATTGTGTCTTAATAATCTTGAGATGAGAAGAACAACGGAAAAAGTTAAAGAGACGGTGTCCAGAGAGAAATGAAGGACATAAGATAAATTTTAAAAGACCCACTTGTTAACTCATATACAACACATTAAAACATATGGTTAATTTAAAACATTTGTAGCATGTGTATACAATACAAGTAACATATTCTTAGATATTGGAAATCATAATGCGTGTTTTGATAAAATAAAGAAAACACAATTCACTATTGTATTCATTATAAAGCTATCATTCATTATGAAATAATTTCTAAGCTATAATTCATCTATGTAAAGTTCGAATATGTGATTGACCTTTATTCTATCTTCCGTTGTGTTGAAGAATAACGATATAAACTCTCTCGTTTGGAGAAATAGACTCTAAGAACTTTGTCTATTTCCCAAAGATTATATATAGGACGGGTTTGGTATTTGGTGCACCACCTGTGTGCACGTTCCTGAAGGCGCCCATCTCTTTCAAGAGGATTTGTGTGAGGTTGACCTTCTTAAAGACCAATCCCCTTAGAGTTGGTAGCTTCTAGCAACAGTGAGAAAAAGATCCCACAAAAATAGGAATTGTACAGTTTTTTTAGGTTCATGTGGTTTTTGGAGGGTTGGTTTTCCGAGTTATCTTGGTAGAAATTTAAGATTTTTTAGATTTTAACCAATCCAAAAATTCTAACTCACTAAATCCTTCAAAAATAATTCAAAATGTTCATTGTTTGATAACTATGATTATTAAATTCACTTAAATATAAATAAAAATTTATCTAATGTCATGTTTATCTTTAATAGAAAGAATCTGAGTGGCTAAAAAATTATTGAAATTTTATGGATTTTAGCATTAGATATTTCATATCCCTAGAAAATTCAAAAAAAGAGGGTAATGTCTATTTTTTAATCAAACATTTTTCAAATTTTTTAATATTAATCAAACCTATTAAAATGCTATTAATTACCCAAATCTTTCATAATGCATCAAAATATTATCCATTTTACATTGTCAATAATAATTTTGTAACTCTTTTCTTAGTTAAAATACTTAAATTTTGCAATGTTTGATCTTCGTGTGTCTCTTCCAAGTCAGTATCATGTTGCCAAGTCAATATTACTAACAAAATTGTTAACTGAAAGTTAACATTTGGCTAATTCTTAGTATTTTGATAGGTTTGAATAATATAAAAGAATTTGAAAATTTTTGGATAAAAATAGACATTGCCAAAAAAAAAACATTTCTACAAAATTCATAAATTTACTAAATCCATGCATGAATCTTTTTTCTCCAAACGAAGCGTAAAATACAATTGTGTGAGGTATCAAAGACATCTATACTTGTTGATTCGAATTTATAAACTCACCAACGCGGAAGATAAGAAATTTAATTTGAGCATTAATTATAGTGAACGTCCCACACATCTCACATCAAAGTGAAACATTTGGGGAATGTGAGGTATTTCCTTAGATGAGAGATAGCAAGAACTGATAAAGACATCTCTTTATGCCAATTAAATGTTTTTCCCTAGAGATGTTAGAAAATGATGAATTCCTTGAGTGAAAACTAGCCAAGGCTCCCATTAACAGTTTTATCAGCCATTGATGGAAGCTTAGTAGAAGATGGCTTAGTGTTCAGAAACCTGCTTCGACAACTCCAACAATTAACCTCTACCAGACATAATATATGCTACCTATGATGAATAATTATTCTGATGTTGGGAATAAGCAATACTATTAACACGAAATAGAGGAGAAGGAGTAATACCGCTTTTACTCCATACTCTCGTATCCCTATTACAGCGGATTGTAGACACATAGATACATTGAGAAGTGAGGGAGAAGAGAAGCTTGTTGGTGTGTCTTTCCTTCTTCCATATCTTTCCTTTTATAGCCATTGAGTGTACAGTCCCAATTAATTGAGATGGAGGATGTGTATGATGGACATCCACTTAATCATAATGGTGATCTATAGTGGGTTAGGTCATTAATTAGGTTGGGAAGATGGTGGTAGTTGGGGTATGTGGGCAATTGGCATCCACATATATATTCATAATACTCCCCCCTGGATGTCTATTGATTAAGAACATGCCTCGTTAAAACCTTGCTAGGAAACCCTGTGGGATAATAACCTAGTGAAGGACAAAGAGTACATAGTTCTTCTGTTACGCGTTGTATACTGCCTCATTAAAAACCTTACCAGGAAAACCCTATGGGAAAAACCTTAGTTAAGGGAAAAAGAGTGCAGTGCGTAAAGTTTCCCCCTTATGGAGAGATCTATCAACATCTCCCCCTCATGGAGAGATCTATCAACAGTTTGAAGTCTTCGAGCTCCAATATATTTTCACTTGACGTTGTGGAAAGTAGTATTGTTATAGACAAATCTGTTGGATAGTCATTTAACAAACTTTGCTGGTTCCACAATTTTTCATGAAGTTCGTTATTGAAAAACCAACTTCGCTAAAAATATCCTCATATATATCTTTTCAGAAGATACATGTAATATCACTTTCATATATGATCGTCTAGATCAATCTTTGAGAAATATGTTAAATAATGGATAACTTTATCAAATAGATCATTATTCTCATAGTGATCTTAATCATCAATATATCTTACTCATTCTTATCATTTGTGCACCTTTTATATATTTCTTGATGCACATGACTTTCCCTTGCAAATATTTGATTTGCAATCCAGGGGATAGTCTAGTTCTTTCAAGTTATTGATTTCAAACTTATGAATACTCTTCTAGAGTTTCAAGTCAATCAATAACTTTGTATCTTTGAATACTCTTCTAGAGTTTCAAACATATTTATACCTTTAATCTCAACTTGAAATCATTGTTTACAAATGTGTCGACACCCCAAAGGTGGCAAAGAATTTGTCAACACATTGTCATGAGAAGTTTGGCTCTTTCAACCAATGATTCTTTGTCAGAACACATGAAGCTATCATTGGAAGATATTCTAGGTAATTCATCTGTCTTTCTCAAATTATAATAAGAATATGGAATTTGAGATCATTCGTATTTCTCCTATCTCGTAGAAACTTCATTGAGATAGTTATTCCATATATATCGATGCTCAGTTAATTTGTTTGAGGGGAGGATTCAATATACTTAAATAATGTTCTCCACAATCTCAACATGTTTGCTTCAAGCAAACTAACTCCTTCAGAGAGTTCCATATGAATTTCATCATTAAGCATGCTTTAGTATCAACCTTCATTAGACGCATATATAACTTTTATATACTGCCAAAAGCCATATCCACCATATGGAAGTTTTCCTAATTCAATACCAATTATTTTGCGAAGACCTTTATGACAAGTCGAGCATGATATCTCTTAATTTCTCCCCCTTTGTCATGTCTTCGCAAAACATCATATGACTTTTACTGGCATTGCTTCTGTATAGCTCTTATGACCTTTTACTGTTTAGGCAAGTTCATAACTGCATCAAATGCGTCGTTACAACTTGGTCTATAACCTTTTTAAGGCGACCAATGGATCTAACTTCACGATCCTCTTTCATATCATATTGCGCGCTACAAAATATGAAAACTCTATCGTCAACGTTGACTTCCTTTCGATTCCATTGAATTTCATCCAAGATATAATTTATTGGGATTTCTTTCATAATCCCGAAATAGGTACCGTTGGTTATTCCAGACCAATGTTATAATACTTGGAGATTCAAATAAGCTTGCAATATCCTCATCATAAAGACCATCTTTATTTTGATCTCCTTTTATTTTTCGAGGACTTGTTTTTCTTTGGAATCGATAGTTCAACACATTACATATGTGTGTACAACATATCCTTCAGGGATATAGTTCTTAGGAGCATTAGCAGCTTTTCTGACTTAGTCACTCATTTGTGATCATTATTTACGTCTGGAAGTAGGCTTACTAAACTTGGCAAATGCATTATCATTGAACTTCAAGTTCACATTACAAATGTGAGGATCATAATTCATTTCAACCAATTTTAGAATCAGCTGCTTATTTTTCTCCCCCTGCAAAATATCATACAGTTGATTTACTACTCTGCAAAATATTGGAGACTTCTTGCTCAACAATAATTTCCAATATCCTTTCAGCGGATTTGATGGTTCCTGCCCATAAACCAATTTGTACAGGGGTTTAGGAGTGACATCTTTTTGGCATGATGCAAAATCGGTACTGCTACATGCAACTGGCATGTCTTCAATAAGTTGTTTCACATGCTTATGCACAAGCATGTGCTACTTGACATTTGATATTGAAACCAATAATATGAGATTTAAATCCACCAATAATCATCGATAAGTATTCTCTTCATATTGAAAGTTCGTTCATATATGCCCGTAAGTGAATCAATTGTGCAACCAATCTTGCAAACTTCAGGTTGCAAGTGGAGTGATCATTTAGACGATGCATCGATTAAAACCATAAAATAACTAAATGATCCATATGGTGCATTGATCCAATAATTTCATAGTGTATATACTAATCACTTCTTACTACCATAGGTGATCTCATTATCAACTTTTCTTGAGAATATACAGCATAAGAAAAATCCTTCATTGTGGAATTTTCGATAATATTCTCAACAACGACTTACATGAATTCTCGATAATACTTTGCATCATAATTGATCCAGGATGGTCCAACCGGTCATGCCAAGCAATCAATTTACAACAAACATAAACTTCAGGTTTATGGTTTGTTTCGTTACCTTTTGCTTTAGGAAGAAGGACTAACTAAGAGTAGTAATTCAACATAATAACATGTATTACGCAATATGTTAAGAATAAGGATACCAAAAGGGGACACAGTCAAAGTGGTACGGCTCTTTGACCTCAACTGGAACGTTGTAGGTTCGAGCCCCATTGATTCAAGATTTCGAATCCTAAAGATTCTTTTAATAAACCATATCACTATATGTGGTAGATATGCTTCTGGCATTTAATGTGGGTTATGCTTACGACATATTACCCTACCATCGGGTGAAGCAATGGCTGAAGAAATCTCTTCCTCTCTAATCTTGCTTTGGGTGTCATGGATCTTTATGATTTTGTTTCTCATTGCAATACTTATCTTGCTAGAGATACACTATCGCAATCATGAACGTTACGTTTCGATACACAAACGCGAGGATCATAAGCATGACTAGATATTTTCTAGTATTTGATCCATATATGGTAGTATGAAAAATGAGACTTAGATCTCAAATCATGTATGATGTATGAATGTTATGAATAAAATGAAGTTTAAATACTTACTTTTATCAATAAATACAAACTTCTACTTCCAGAAAGTTTGTGGTATATACTTTATACTATATTCAACATCATTTTGGAGTCAAGTCATAAACTGATCATTAACTTCATTGGATCATCTTATGAGTAATACCCCATGAATCATTATATCAAATGGGCGTATAATCAAATCTGGTGTGTCCCACCTTGGATAAGCCCTTAAATACTTTGCCATAAAAATTTTCAGGATATGATCACTTTATTCAAATAATTCTTGATTAAACCCATGAAACGATTCAACATACAACTGGTACGTTATATGGCGAATATCTTTGTCTCTTTTAATGAATCGTTGATTCAACTGATGAATCTATTTGACGTACAACTGGTACGATGACGTTCTTGCATTTTCAATCACTGGCCATATAAAGATTTCACTTCTGGTGAATGTTATTATGGTTGGTATTATAGAACCATTTTATCACTCAACATTTGACCTCGTTTTTCTTCACATTCAATTCTGGGAATGGAGTTACATCAAGATATTTGCTAAGTCAATATATCCCGTTTATCCATGGGTTGTTTCATTGCAGACTTTTCATCATAATTTTATTCTTATGGAATTGTAACTTCCCGAAATTTCTCCCGTTCATTTTACTTGCTACTGCTGGAGCAAAGTACATGATAACATCGAGAATATATAATGGGAATCACCATCGCCTTCCGTAAATCAATCTAAAGTCTAAGAATATATATCCTGCCTATATCATTTATAATTATAGTAGCATAAACAACTTATCACTGATTAGCTACTTGTTAAACTAAATAGAAAAAACATGACATAATTCATAAATATAAATATATATATATATATATACATAAACCAACATACTGCAATTAATAGCATTGCCAATTTGTCATTGAATAAATATTGCAATGTCAGTGTTATATGTTTTCCTTTTAAACAATAATTTAAACATGCCATACAACTATTGAAAGAATGCATGTGATAATTGATGAGTTCAGATATGACCATTATTACTGGATTTGTATTGTAAACGAGGGAAGTGCATGCAAGATGGTCAAAATGAAAATAAAGTGTTTTGAAATACAATATAATTATTAAATAAACACCATTCCTACTGTAAAAATATATATCAACAAACTTCATGCATAATTGCATATAGGATACGATAGGAATTACCTTAGAAGCTATAATGCCCCCAAAACGTTTAAGATTCTTGGATTTGTATTGTAAACGAGGGAAGTGCATGCAAGATGGTCAAAATGAAAATAAAGGATAGTAGAATCAAATTTCTTGATTTCGTGAAGAATAACACGGCTTCATCGGTGAAACTCCTGCTTGGGATTCACAGATCTACAGGATCTTTGATCAAGCATCGCACTTGTGCTAAATGGCAGAAACTTCTACTCTCGTAGTTTCATTAGATCATCAGGATCTTGAATATATAAACAATTGTTATAATGGTGAAAATCTTTCACTACCAAAGTTGTCTCAGATCTACAGGATCTCGACTATATAAAACAATCGTGATAATGGTAAAACCTTCTACTTCCAAAATTTGCTCAGATCGACTGGATCTTGAGCACGTAGAACAATTCGTGCTAATGGTAAAAAGTTTATACTCCAAAATTTGCTCAGATCGACAGGATCTCAAGCACATAGAACAATCGTGCTGATAATGTGTTATGAATAATTATTCCGATGCTGGGAATAAGCAATACCATTAACACGAAATAGAGGAGAAGGAGTAACACCGCTTTTATTCCATACTTTCGTATCCCTATTACAGAGGATTGTAGACACATAGATACATGGAGAAGTGAGAGAGAAGAGAAGCTTGTTGGTGTGTCTTTCCTTCTTCCATATCTTTCATTTTATAGCCATTGAGTATAGAGTCCCAATTAATTGAGATGGAGGATATGTATGATGGACATCCACTCAATCATAATGGTGATCTATAGTGGGTTAGGTCATTAATTAGGTTGGGAAGATGGTGGTAGTTGGGGGTATGTGAGCATTTGACATCCACATATATATTCATAATACTTCCTAGTACATCAGCTCCGTCACTTTCAAGATTGTCCTACCACCACATATTTAACGGATCTTTATGAGATCTTCAGAAGCAATAATTTCATCTGTAAGGAGAGGTGGAAAAATCGTTGACTAAGGTTTAGGCTCTTCTTATTCGATAAACACAACTATGATAAGATGTAAAAGTCACAAATCTTCATGTGTTGTGAATACATCTCGCACAAGCCCAAATCCTGCAGAAATATTTTATTCTTGTACATATTGGCAAGTATGGAGAAATTTGAGAAACAAGCCATGTCCCCATCAAGAAGACACAATCAAAAAAGGAAAGATGGAACTCGCTTAGAAAGTGCAAATCAATAAGGCATTTCCTTACTAGCGTAGGAAAAGCCTGCTAACTAAATTAGACACTGGTTGTCATGCTATGATAATTCATGATATTGACATGTTTTGCTTGTATATGATTATAAAAGGAACTATCACTGTGACATCCTAACCCGGCCGGGTACTACTATTACCAAAATGCCCTTGATAAACCGTTAACCAAAATAAAAACCAAACAGACTGGGAAAAATTAGCGGGAAACTTTATTTAAATATCCATAATAAATACGTTGAAATTCAAATAACAATTTCTTTAAATTTGCATAAAAGGAAATCACAAGCATCTTTAATAAATGTGCATCAAGTCTCAAGCCCTACTAAGTACACGAGATTAAAATCTTCGCACTGGAGTCCTCTACAACCATTGATCCTTATCACGAACTGTTGAACTTCTGCCATACTCTAGAGCTTCTACAATTTCTGAATACGGGCGATGCGGTCAGTCCTAATCCTAATTTCGTTATCATACATAAACAGACAGTCATGCACATGCAATGCTTTAAGTAAATTATTTGGTATATTTTTAGGAATCCTTGAACTTATGATTCTTGTTTACTTCATAAGTGTCTTGCGTATTTTATCTTAACATGGGGCCCCGTCCTCCACTTAGCTAGAGCCCCGCCCGGCCACCTAAACGTGATAAACATGGACCTCCATCACTGTGGGAGGTGAATAACGTGATAATCATGGACCTCCATCACTATGGGAGGTGAGGTAACCACGCGCTAGCTAGGCGACCGTCCCGTACCTAATACATGAATTTGAACATGGACTCCTTGTCTGAAGGAGTGGGTAGTATACATGGACTTCCTCACTCTGGGAAGTGAGGTGGTCGCGCGCTTAGCTAGTAAGTGAGGTTTGATCTTTTTCTGACTTATTAACTTGATAACTTAATGTACTTGCTTGAATCAATGTCTCACACAATGGAGAGATGCACTTAAGCTTATACTTGGTTCCTTAATTTGAGAAGTTTGAGCTTACTTAGGGTGATCTCTCCCACGAGGGGAAGATCTGAACTTATTAACTTGCACTTGATTAGCTTAGAACTGAACTTGTATTTGCTTGACTTACAACGTAGTTTATTGATGCTTCATGATGTTATGCATACTTAACATAAAGACTGAACGTAAACAAATTAACTTAACATGAAAGCATAAAGAAATAAAATAACATAAACAAGAACTGAAATGCATAACATGAACGTAAATGGATGATAACGAACTACTCTAGCCCCCTTTAACCACGCACCTGGATGAACATCTTTGTGTCATAGCCATCTGAACCCAAAATCGCTACCCCGACCTCCTTCGTGTCTCCTTCTCCTTTGCTAATTTATGTAACTAGCCTCTCCTATTGCATTTGCCGCACGTCCTTAGTTGGTACATCATGAAGTCACAAAACACCAACAAAGCTCCCAGATTCACTCTTCAATCATAACAACGGCGCCACTTCATTGTCCACAAGCCATGTAATATCTTCAACTTATTAATTTACTTGCCTATATCCACGTTGATTACCCTGTTCGAACTCTCCCAAGGATCCATGCATACGTAAACCATATGTAGCCAATAAGGCATCATTACAAGTATCACGAATTATAACCTAGGTCTCCTGAGCTGGATACTCCTTTTCCACCATTGGCGTTCGACAATAACAATTTGCTGCAATCAATGTCGATAACAGCTATCAACAATGGTTACCTCCTCCACAAGCAGTTCACCCAATTCTTCTGGCAGGGATATGGTCAAAACTAGCGACCATCATCATGGATCCGGTCACGTCGATCATTGTTCTATGAGTCCCAGCCGTCGGAGCTTGCTTCCCAAACCACCGCCTGCCGCTGCTCCTGACAATCAGTAACGTGCACATGTCCGAGTCCTTCTGTGTCGATCGCCACTGACCGGCTGCCGCTAGACCCTGTCGAGCTCCGTGCATCGGCGGCCACCTATGTCGTTGCTTCTCCTCTGTCCGGTTGCGTCTCTCACTTGAAGGAGCTAGAGGTTTCGTGGTGCTCGACATTGAGGGATGGGGAATGTACGAGCTAGGGTAAGATTTGAGCGGCTTAAAGGAGGAGGCAAAGTGTGCGAGTGGCTACTAGTCCATTACGTGTATATATATATATACCCCACGCAGTTGTATACGAGTTAGGGTTTATAGGCTAGGGTTAATCTGATTATTGAACCATTATGAAGGGCATTTTAGGTATTGCACGGATATTTGAAGGAGCGGGTGTTACAATCACTCTATATAAAAAAAAAAGAGGAACTATCACTTTTTCATGGGTTGATGATACATATGAAAATGACTCTATGGTTCATGTATTGATGAAAGAATCATCATTGACGGGTGTGTTTGTAAAGCAAAAGAGAAGGAGAAGAAAAGGAAACAAGAGCATTTTGCTATATTTGAAGTCTTGAGGAAGATTACAGAGATATAGATGGAGCTAGTTGTCCTGAATTACAAAAAAGAAAAAAAAAATTTGAGACATGCAATTTGTGCAGTACAAAATAAGATGATTATATGCTACTTATGTGTAATCCTTCTACTAGTAATTCTTTTTTATAAGGGTTTGTTTGTATAAAATCGATATTTAACCTTCCGAAGATTGCAATGAAATTGAATGTGCATGTTAGAATATGACTTGAATTTGATTTGGATTTGTTTTGTGTTTTAGGCCTATTCTGTTTGGGTTTGGGATTGGGTTTTGTTTTGACCTTTTCCTTGTATGTTTGGAAAAAGGTGTTTGGTTTTCTGTTTGGGATTAGGAGAAGAGTTCTATAAATACTCTTCATCACCCTAGTCTGTAGTAAGGTCAGTCAGGTTAGTTTGTTTGGTTTGTCCGTTTGGAATTTGGTTTGTAACCTGTACTCTCCTCAAATTAGTGAAATTTGTCCCCCCGCCCGTGGATTAGCTAGCACACATTGTGTTAGTGAACCACGTTAAATTTGTGTTCGTTCGTGTTGGTTTGGATTATCGATTGCCACGCTTCTGTTCTAACAAGTGGTATCAGAGCCGCAGTTGATCTTTGGGTTATTTGAAACTGTCTTGACGGATTTTTTAGGATCGCGCTCCGCGGTTGATTTGGATTGTTTGAAACAGTGTCCGTCGCTGTTGGGATCGCGCTACTTGTTGGCGGATTGGTCATTCTTCTCTCCGGCTTCGACTTGTGGCTCTTTAATTTTGGAGAGCTGTATGAATATTTGGTGCAAGATTAATTGCCGAGAAGCAGTTGGAGGAATTTTGTGTTTTGTGGTTTGAGCTTTGGTATTTTGGAGCAAGTTAATTGTGCGCTCATTAATTAACTTTTTTTTAGTTACAATTTTGATGCACCACACGCGAGAGGAGTTAGTTTCCTCTAGTTGTCCAGGTTTGACGGAGCTTCCTTGGTGTTCGCGATTTGTAGTGAGCAAATTTTGGTTCTCTTGTGGTAGTTTTGTTTCCGAGCTACTTGGAATTTGAAAATTGGGTTGGAAATTCTGATGTTTAGCCAGCCGTTTGTGTTGGAATAGTTTGGTCGGAGGTTAGGGTTTTTTGATCATCAAGATGTTTGTTCTAGATTTGAAGATCGAGAAGTCAATTTGGAGTTGCAGGCTTTGAGTTAGCAGTAAATTTGATGTTGGTGTTATGGACGGAAATAACACCAAACTGGTTTTGCAAGGCAAGTCCCAAGATGAGTTGGACTTGCTGCATATTTTGATTTGTTAACCGCCCTTAGGGGCATTTGGAGGCAAGGGAGGTTCTGGCAAATTCGGAGATTTGAAGAGTTTGGTGTCTGGAAATTTTGGTTGAACTTGAGTCTGGCGATATGAATCACATTTGGATAAGTCTGGCCATTCTGATTGCATCTGATTTTGGCGATTTGTATCGCGTTTGAGTTTGGCAATTTGTATCGCGTTTGGGTTTGGTGATTTCGATCACATCTGGTACATCTGGCAACTTTGGTTGCGTTTGGTACATCTGGAAACTTTGGTTGCATCTGGTACATATGGTAATTGAAAGAGAATTCAAGTCAAGGTGGAGATTGTTAGAATATGACTTGAATTTGATTTGGATTTGTTTTGTGTTTTAGGCCTATTCTGTTTGGGTTTGGGATTGGGTTTTGTTTTGACCTTTTCCTTGTATGTTTGGGAAAAGGTGTTTGGTTTTCTGTTTGGGATTAGGAAAAGAGTTCTATAAATACTCTTCATCACCCTCGTCTGTAGTAAGGTCAGTCAGGTTAGTTTGTTTGGTTTGTCCGTTTGAAATTTGTTTTGTAACCTGTACTCTCCTCAAATTAGTGAAATTTGTCCCCCCTGCCCGTGGATTAGCTAGCACACATTGTGTTAGTGAACCACGTTAAATTTGTGTTCGTTCGTGTTGGTTTGGATTATCGATTGCCACGTTTCTGTTCTGACAGTGCATTCCCTAGTTGAAATGAACATGTCCATAATCATAAACTTCTTACATATTCATAGTTTATAATCAAATCTTAAACATGTCCTACTAATGTGAAATCAGTTAAAAATTCATAGAAGGCCCTAGGATAATATTACTTGAGGTCTTCTAATGCATAACTACTCATACTAACCATCCATGACATACACAAAAATCATAAAGACATTTAGGGGTTTTCATTTAACAAACAAGAAAAGGGAAGCAAGCAATAAGAGTGAAGTTGTTTAGGTACTTTTCAAATTATAGATGCATAAAAGTAAGGGTAATGTCTATTTTTTTATCCAAACCTTTTTCGAATTCTTTTTTATTATCCAAACCTATTAAAATGCTATTAATTAGCCAAATCTTTCGTAATGTATCAAAATATTAGTTATTTTTATGTTGTCGTTAATAATTTTGTAACTCTTTTCTTAGTTAAAATACTAAAATTCTGGAATGTTGACCTTCATGTGTCTCTTCCAAGTTACTATCATGTTGCCAAATCAATATTGCTAACAAAATTACTAACCGAAAGTTAACATTTAGCTAATTCTTAGTATTTCGATATGTTTGCCTACAAAAAAAGAATCCGAAAAAGGTTTGGCTAATAAATAGTCATTACCCTAAAAGTAAAGAATCCAAAGTTTTATAACAAACCGGTATTTACGCACTAATTGAGCAGTTCGTTTTTTTAATATCCTTTTTAATGATTTTAAATTTAAGCTGTTAGCATTATAACTTTTTTTCGAGATTTGCGATTTTTTTTTATATTTTCTTTAGTTGATTTCTTGTCTCGACGAATGATTGGGCCCAAATAAAATAGATTCCGCCCTTCCTATACTCTTTCAAGGCTGGCTTGTAACAGGAGACGCCTTATCTAATGTAAGCTACTGTAGAAGGTAGTAAACTCGAGTACTATCAAGCATACTATGACTCAATCACAACATGCATCGATGATTCATCTATTCCAACACCATATCCCTTGCTCTAAGGCCACTCTCTACCTATGCATGTGCCTCTTGTGATAGAGGTTTATCTAGCTAATGCATGCTTTCACTCCATGTCATCACTTAATTAATAAAGAACAAGAAAGTTATGATAGCTGATAGACCGTTAGTTACACATGTTTTCACCCCTGTTCTTATACCGTTTGATAGGTGGTTTCTCGTGTTTTAGACCGATTTCACGCTAGGTTGTGCTTGTTTGTGATATTTCAGGTCCTGGCAAGTGAATGAAGATTTAAGAGCGAGTTCGGGGTCGATTGGGTGAAGATCGGGCGCGAGACAAGTCACAAAGGAGGTCACACGGGCTTCCCTGATGTTCACACGGCCGTGTGAAGTAATGGCCTGGCCGTACGAGTTTGGGAGAGAGCACACACGGGCAGAGCAGACAATCGACACGGCCGTGCATATGGCCGGGTTGGCCGTGCCACATTCGCGAGAGCAAACACGGGCAGGAAGGAGAGTTCACACGGCCGTGCCATTCTGGCCGTGCAAAGAGCCTGGAATTCGAACTAAATGAAACGATGCGTTTTGACTCACACGGGCAACTGGGTGAGCTGCACGGCCGTGCCACCCTGGCCGTGTGAGTCGGGATTTTCTCCTTTTAAGCAGAATTTCAGCCACAATTCGTGGGGGGATTCGAGTTTTTGAGAGAGAGATCAGTTCCTAGAGAGAGAAAGTGACGAGCAAGAGTTCCCAAGTGCCCTAGATTGATCTTCAACACCATTGGAGGCCAGCTTGAGCTTGGAGAAGTGCCAATCAACGTCCAGAAGCAGGAATCCATGCTTCACAGTATGAATTCCGTGTCTGATTCTGCTTTTGCTTTCTTCTCCATGCAGTAGTTCTCCCATTCATCTGGGTATGGAGAACCCTAGATTTGTATGTTGGGCTTTGATTGTATGAACCCAAGTACTGATTCTGTGATTGATTATATTCGATTGAGGTTTTAATGATTGAATGACTTGAATCCTGATCAAATTCCTGTTGTTTCTGCTTTAACCTAGAATGAGAATATCTGCCTAGGTTAATAGAGTATCCTTGATTGAAGGTAGGGAGTTGGTGACTTTAGTCGAGGAGCCAACTCACTATTCTGTACCGGATTTACCCCGGTAGTGGAGGTTTTGTTCTTAGGGCCTCAATCTGTCTACTCTATTGGAGGTTAGTCGCCCGCTAGAGATTCAGATTGAGAGGGTCTGAAGACCTTTAGTCGAGACTTCAGGCTGTTTAAGAACCTTCCGCAGTATAATCTTCATAGAAACTGAATTTGGTAATTACAATCTGGCTTAACTGCAGTCTAGGGGGAACCATATCCGGGTGACCTCTTTAACCTGAATACAACAGTTTACTTGCTTTGTTAGTTTGATAGTTTAGACTTGCATGCCAGTTTCATTGCTAGATTACAAGAATTCACTGAGTAGTCATCACATCTAGGACCCGGGTTGATAATTAAACCCAAACCCGCTATACTACGCTTTAGGAAGTGGTTTCACTTGGCCAATTCCTGGAGTGACAGTAGAGTCGAGTCAAGTTTTTGGCGCCGTTGCCGGGGACGGCTAGGTTGTTGAAGAAAAGTGATTTCTGTTAATTTAGCTTTTCTTTTTGCTATGTTTTCTTTGTCCCACTTGTGCCTTCACGGGTTTGTTGCTTGAGTGTGTGCAGGTAGTGCATGACCCGTAGCCAGTCGGGAGGTTTACTGCCGTTGAATCCAGAGATTG